TGGGAGGGGGGGGGGGGGGGGGGGGACCCCTAAATGGTGGAACCCTTCCACGCGTGGGAAGGACAATGATGGTGGCTGAGCTGAACAGAGAAACCCGAATAAAAGCACAAAGCATTGACCGAGCCCCGTCCACCGCTTCTGGGTCCCGGTGTGATCGTGGGTTGCGTGGGGGAAGGGGGTGGATGCTGGAGCGGCCTGCCGATGTCCAGCCTCCTTCTCCCCGCTTCCCAGCAGCCAGAGGCGGGCGAAACACTCACCGGACGGGTTCACAGCGGCGGGAGTCGCCATGTTGGCAGAAGGCGCCTCGAAATGCAAGAAGACGATGGAGATGGAGCACAATGAGAGCCTCCTCCTGCTCCTCCTCCTCCTGCTGCTGCTGTCCGTGGAACGGGGACGCGAAGCTCGTCCCAGCCTCCCACTCCACGGGAGGAGACAGATAGAGCAGCGCTGTGGATAAACAAGTGCAGAGACGATGCTCCTCTGATGCAGACTGACTGATTAACATGCGAGATGTTGAACCGAAACACCGCGAGACTTTAGTTCTGCATTAAGAATGGAATTTTAAACAGCTTCACTGTTCCAAAGGGATTATCTGACACTTTCTGACAACACGTTTCAACACACCGTTCCTCCTCATCCTCCCACATCACCATGCCGCCCCTCCCTTACTACTATAAGATAAGATGATCCAAAATGCTGCAGCCAGAGTTCTGATGAAAATGAAAAAGAGAGATCATATCTCTCCTATCCTGGCTTCTCTTCATTGGCTTCCTGTTAAATCCAGAATAGAATTTAAAATCCTCCTTCTTACATATAAAGCCTTAAATGGCCAAGCTCCATCTGATATCAGAGATCTGATTGTTCCTTATGTTCCTAACAGAGCACTTCGCTCTCAATCTGCAGGTTTACTAGTGGTTCCTAGAATTTCTAAAAGTAGAATGGGAGGCAGATCTTTTAGTTATCAGGCTCCTCTCCTGTGCAACCAGCTACCAATTTTAGTCCGTGAGGCAGACACCCTGTCTACTTTTAAGGCTAGGCTTAAAACTTTCCTTTTTGATAAAGCTTCTAGTTAGAGTGGCTCAGGTTATCCTGAGCTATCTCTATAGTTCTGCTGCTATAGGCTTAGACTGCTGGAGGACATAGGGACCCCTTTTTCCTCATTCTGCTTCATTCTATCTCTATTCTCCCACTCTGCAGAATCTGTTAGTTCAATCTCTAACGTTCTGCTCTCTCTGCTTTTTCTCATAGTAGCTTCATCTGGTCTGTTCCTGTTTGGCTGTGACTCCATCCTGGAGAGAAATATCAGCTGTGCTGCTGCCATCAACACCTTTTTTTCTAGATGTTGGAGCTTGGCCTGTTTTCCAGTGTAGTCCTGTTTCTCTGACTGTGACTAACTGGATGTGCTCTCTTCATCCTCTTCATCCTCTGCCTGTCTCCTGCTTCTGTCTCCTTGAACCCCAGTCGGCCTCAGCAGATGGCCGCTCACACTGAGCCTGGTTCTGCTGGAGATTTCTTCCTGTTCAAAGGGAGTTTTTCCTCTCCACTGTCGCTACAAGCATGCTTAGTGTGAGGGATTGCTGAAGAGCCAATGAGTCGATGCAATCAGCTGGTTTTCCTTAGATAGAAAACTTTGAATCAATCTGACTGGATGATCTGGTGAACTGGAAAGTGACCTGGCTATTTCCGCTTTTTTCCTCCTTTCCGCTGATTTCCTTCAGCCAACAGTAACTGGGTGCAGCTAACTGTGTTCAGAGCGTTTTCAGTCCGTGTTTTTTCCTCACTCACCCCCCACATGGTGAAATATCATTGGATCTGTCCCTTTGGGACATAATATTATTTAGTGTCGCTATTCACTGCATACAGATCGCTACAAGGATGAGAAGAGATACCTGTATGGCAAGCTGTTTTAGCATAAAGTCGCAGCAACACTCAGTGAATTCTAACTGGCATTCGTAAAGTTAGGAGACAGGTTGGTTAAAAAAATCAGAGATACCACTGAAAAGTCCGTTCGTTACACATGCAGAGCTTTTAAGCTAGAAATGGCAGCAGATTGTACATTTATATAAGTTTAAAAGCTGGGCTCCTCAGAGGACCATCACTCAGAGATGCAGATTAACATGAACACAGATCTGTTGTTTTCTGATTGAACAGAGAATCAGACTGCAGAGCTTCTAGAGATCCTGAAATTATTAATTATTGTTTTTGAGCCCTTTATAAATAAAGCACTAAAGGCAGGCATCTGTCTAGAACTATAAATATCAGAGTACTGTAGTTTTCTTGTGTTGTCAGCAATAGGAAAGCATTCAATAAATAGATGTTTGAGCTCATTTTTGAAAAATATAAACCTTATTGAAAGCGTTCGGGTGGAGTAGCTGTAGGTCCATCAGCCACCACCCCTAGAGTGCCCCCACCCTTAGAGACCCCCCCTTTAGAGCGCCCCCACCCTTAGAGAGCCCCAAACCTTAGAGCACTCCCACCCCTAGAGCGCCCCCCCTTTAGAGCGTCGCCACCCTTAGAGCGCCCCCACCCCTAGAGCACCCCCCTTAGAGCGTCCCAACCCTTAGAGCACCGCCTCCCCTTAGAGCGCCCTCACCCCTAGAGCACCCCCCCTTAGAGCGTCCCCACCCCTAGAGCGCCCCCCCAGAGCGTCCCCACCCTTAGAGCGCCCCCACCCCTAGAGCACCCCCCCTAGAGCGTCCCCACCCTTAGAGAGCCCCCAACCTTAGAGCACTCCCACCCCTAGAGCGACCCCCTTTAGAGCGTCCCCACCCCTTGAGCACCCCACTTAGAGCGTCCCCACCCTTAGAGAGCCCCCAACCTTAGAGCACTCCCACCCCTAGAGCGCCCCCCCCTTTAGAGCGTCCCCACCCCTTGAGCACCCCACTTAGAGCGTCCCCACCCTTAGAGAGCCCCCAACCTTAGAGCACTCCCACCCCTAGAGCGCCCCCCCTTTAGAGCGTCCCCACCCTTAGAGCGCCCCCACCCCTAGAGCACCCCCCCTTAGAGCGTCCCAACCCTTAGAGCACTCCCACCCCTAGAGCGCCCCCCCTTTAGAGCGTCCCCACCCTTAGAGTGCCCTCACCCCTAGAGCACCCCCCCTTAGAGCGTCCCCAGCCCTAGAGCGCCCCCCCCCCCCAGAGCGCCCCCACCCTTAGAGCACCCCCACCAACTTTTATTGCAAAGTTACACCCTTGGTGAAGTGCCTTGAGATGACATGAGTAGTGAATTGGTATAAGATAAACTGAATTGAATTGAATTTAAGTTAAATGTAACCCTGTTAGCATTAGTTATAAAACAATGAAGTCTAAGGAAGTTATCATCCAGAATTATAGAAAAATGTTCCTGAATTTAGAGGCTTTAATGTGGCCCACATTTTAGAAGTTACTCTAGATCTGCTGTTCAAGAATGTTTTTTGGACAAAGAAGACAGGTGGTTATAGAGGGGCGTGAAGGAAGGAAGCCATCTATGCTAAGAAAGAAGAAACAACCTTAAACGGGGGGGGGGGGGGGGGGGAATGCAGTGATAGAGTTCATTCCTTCCTGCTGTCAGTGTTTTTTTTACCTTTTTAAATGTACTGCTAGAAACACATTAAAAGTCACCAATTTCTATCTTGTTCAGTTGCTTTTTTACAGGACTGAAAGCTTAAAATTCCTATTATAGTTTTTCATAGCAGTGTGGAATCTTACAAATTATTATTATTACAATGCCTTCTTTGTCATTTATTTATTTTCAAAAAGTCTCATGAAGTCAAATTAAATAATCTGACAGGTAAAGGACTGATGGAAAAGCCAAAGCTCTACCTAAACCACAAAACGCAAATACAACACAGCAAACACTGCCCAGGGAGGGATTTACCATTAGGCAATACTAGGCAGCTGCCTAGGGCCCCAAGTTCCTGGGGGCCCCATAAAACTCTGTTTCCATGTATGGTTAATACAACTATTCCTTATTTGTGCACATTAATTATGTTTTTGATAAAAATCCTTTTACTAAAATGCCATCAGAACGCTGATAATATTAAGTGTGTCTCAGCCCCCGCCCCCCTTCAGTGTCCACCATATTGGATCAGTCCATTTGCTGCACATGTTCAGAAAGGTCCAAACAAACAGCAACAAACCATTTGAAAACATACAATTCAAAGAGCAGTGTTGCCAACTTAGCGCTTTAGTCGCTATATTTAGCCACTTTTCAGACCCCTCTAGCACTTTGATTTCTAAAAAGCTCCTAGCGCCAAATCTAGAGACTTTTTTCTGCTACTGGAGACTGGAGACAACATCTAAAAGCAGCGAACTCTGCTCTCCAGAGCAAGTAGATTGGTAACCCCGCCTCCTGCTCTCCTCTATCTTGTCTGCTGTCATGATTCATGCAGCTATTATTTCATCCAAATGAAAAATGGAGAACAGATAAGCAGATCATGGCTTGTCTACAGTGAAAAGGAGGACTGGGTTATTTACTTTTGCCTTTTTGGAAACACAGGAAGGAGCAATCAGCTAAGTGAGCTTAGTGCTTGGAAAAAATCTTTCATTCCTTTAGAGACAGCATGAAAAGTCAGCTGAGTACAAAACATAGAGAGGAAAACAAGAAGAAAAGGGACAAGAAGAGAGGGACACAACCTAGAACAGATAATGGATGTCTTTGCTATTGACATTTCTCTATCTGTAGAATGGGTCTGTTTTATGTGTTGTCTTCTCCATTCAGAGGGCCCCCTGCCTGTCTTTGCCTAGGGCCCCACATTTCCTAAATCCGCCCCTGACACTGCCTGGAGTTTTTTTTGCATTGCATTTTTTGTCTTCTTTGCAGTTATTTTGCAGGTAAATCATAAAGATGTGAACTTAATTAGCAATTTTAACCGATTTATCTCTGATGTCAGCCTGATGTAGGGAAGATTGAACATTTTTAATTGTTTTTCACCAGGAGTGCTGCCACCCACTGGTGTAGCTCTGTACAACAGCTTCACTATGCTTTAACCCCCATTTCTATACATCAATGAAAACATTCAATCACTCCTGTGTTTCCCTGAAGCTGACTGAAGCTTGCTCCCAGCTTTGCTGCAATAACACAGCATTAATTGATGAATTCTTGTCCACAAACATGACAGGCGATGAAGCAGCTGCAGCAGAGCATGCTGTGAGGGATGAAGGGAGTGGAGGTGTGCAGTACGGCGCTCTGCTCTGGCTGTGGGGCTCAGCATGCAGAGATGGGATTCAGCAGCTACCACTGACTCTTTACCTGATTCTTCCTCATGGCTTTCCTCTGCCCTGCTTCTATACTGCCTTTTTAATGACCAGCCATTCTCTTTCAGCCACACACCCATCTGCAGATCCCTTCCCCCTTTCTTCCACAGCAGCTCATCGGTGTCATCCTAGATTAAGCAGCACTGCAGGATGTGAGGGGAAAAAGGTAAGGCAAAGTGTTTTTTGTTGTTTAGTTTTTTTACTGGTTAGCTATCTTTCTCTACTAGTAATTTACATGAATATATTTATAATAAATGTTTAATATACTCTTTATAACAGTGGTCTACATGTTTGGTGTGTTTGCTCGCTGTCAGGGAATGCCTGCAGTAATTAAAAAGTGTTTTTGTCAGAGAAAGTTTTACTCACTAAACTATGAAAATTTATGAATATTTGGTAATCAGATAATGTGTGAAACACATTGCAGCCTCCTTTATATCTCCTCAGGTGGGTCTGAAACCCTGCTAATACTAAACTCAGTTAAATTCAGTTTATTTACATACACTGTTAAAAAAGTAAATGGCAATTGTTGTTCTAACACACAATTGTATTGTAATCCGACTCAGAAATATAAATTTGACATCTAACAAATAAATACACGTTTGCCCAACTCAAATTCTCAGAAGTTGGTTTAACAAGGAGTTTTAAATCGCCTATACAAGATTTTTTGAGTTCCCTCAACTGTAAACTCATGGGCATGCGCACTGCTTATGTTCATGGACACGCCCACTAGGGTACGGGGTTTCCTATCCCTTTCTTCAAGGGCACAGCCTTTTTCCCTCGTGTTTGAGAAGATTGGCGGACATTGTGATTTTATGCATCTGGAGAACCACGGAGGAACGACCCTGGGACCTTACCAGTTTTCCCGGTGAGTGCTGCAAAGTACAGACAGTTAGCGGTTAGCTCCGTGAGTTAGCATTCCCTTGTGGTGTATTGCCACCGAGTTGAAGCATGAGTTCACATGTTTTTCACGTTCTGATGAAAGGAAAAGCAGCGCACGTGCACGTGTATAATGCGCGTGTGCGCGTGCGTGTTTATGCCGCGCATGTGCGGGTGAGTGTTTATGCATAGAGAAAAGAGTGTGCCTGTTATTTTCATTGTACAAATGAAAAGAGACATTAAGTTGAGTGTAATAACTTATTAAATTTCTAAATTGTTTTATGTAGTGCAGTGTTGTTGCACTCAGGCACAGAATATTACAAGACTACATTATTTTACTTTCTTAATCCGATGTGGGTATTTACTGTTATTTACATTATTTACATGTGGATTTTTTGCTTTCATGATTTTATTTGCTTTACAAGAAAAACAGTGACATTAACATTTTATATGTTAACCCTGTAATGCAGCAGTTAATTCGTAATGAGTTAGAAAAGTTACATTACACACTGAAATTTATCATACTTGGAGAGATATAAACTGTACAGTTAAGAACAAGAAGTGAATGGATTTAACTAAGCCCTGTTGTGCTATGCAGGCTGGGTTTTTTGGATACCCTGGATTCTGGATTCTCTCCTTAAATGGAGATGGCGAGCCAACCGTGTGAACATCTGGATTTGGATTGAAGAGAAGGATTTGGAGTGAAGAGGACTTTCTTTTTTTGCATTCATCGTCCTGTCGGAGTGGTAGGACTAAAAAGAAAAACTCAGAGATAAAAAGGGAAAACCTTTTTCTTTTTCCGTTGGGAAACAAGACATTTTATTTCATTTTATTTTTTTAAAAGGGTGCACCCAATTTAAAGAGACTACAATTGAAAAAAACAAACTGAAGGCCGTCCAAATTTGTAAAACTGTTATTTTTTCATATATGTTAATACACTTACTTCACAAAAAATTACCTGTGTGTTTTCCTCTTACTAAAATGGTGTCTTACTGTTTTTTCCCTCATCATCACTCTTACGAATCTAGAACATTCTGGTCCAGTGTCATGTTACTTTGATCTGTGCAGTTAAGATTATGTTGTTGAACATGGTTTTATACTGTATCTATGCAATGTTTGGCTTGAAGCAATAAAAATGTTGTATTAACATAATTTTTTGTGTGTTGAATGATTGGTAGTGAAGACGATTGGTAGGACTAAAAAAACTGAGTTGATAGAACTCAACTTGCAGATAACACTACAAAATCTGAGTTTGTAGAACTCAAAATCTATATGTCAAACTCATAAAACAAAGTTGATAGAACTCAGAACTTAAAGGTGAAACTCAAAAACCTAAGTTGGTAGAACTCAAAATTTCTATGTAACACTCCAAAAACCTAAGTTGGCAGAACTCAAAAATCTTTGTAAACTCAACCACAGTGAATTTAAGTAAGGAAAACTCAAAAAACCAAATGCATCACGTTGCCTAGAAAATGTAAGTTCTGTCAACCTCTATTTTTTTTTCAGTGTAGCACTAATTCACAGCATCAAGGAACTTTAAGATACACTTCTTTCACAGTCAGATTGGTGCAAATTGGTGGCTATATGTCCAGGAGTGTGAAACGGTTCACCACAATTTACAACCAAGACATTCCATGCAGGTTGAGCTTGGATTGGATTCCCTAAAGAGTCTCAACATCTCGCGATCACTTATCGGTGATGGAAACAAAGCCAGGTGGGGTTAAATGTGAAAGCAGTCATTAGGGTGTTGCCATGTTTTGTCATGCAAAGAAGTCAAAGTTACGGTCAGCGAGGATTTCAAAGTTAACAGTGGAGACTGAGTGGTTTACCGGAGAATTAGCCAACCTAGCTAGGCCGGCTAGTGGTAGCCATTCAGAATTTCCCCACTTTCCTTGATGGGCCCTCTTCTGGCCCTCGGCTGGTCCCCTACAGTTCCTTTTTAAACATCTAAAATATTCTTTCCGTCATGATTTTAGGACATTACGATCTAAAGCGCCATCTCCTGGTCAGACCCTGTAATTCAGTGAAAGGGTGGAGGCAGAGTAAAAAAATGCACGCCCAGGAGAAGGTGGGCTTCTATTCGGCTGGTGTTTGACTGGGAAGGGCCATTTTGAATGGCTGCTACTGTAGCACGCTGCAATAAACAGTCTGAGAGGATTTACTGTGGGGGCGCTGAGGATCAGAAGAATTCGATGGACTGTGAGAGATCAAAGTGAAAATCAAGGGCAGGATCCACAATGTAACTTAACGTGGTAGAGGGGCAATTTCCTGGTGGAGATGTAACTGGCAGTGGATCCAGTGGAGCTCAGCTGCTGTGGATTGCAGGAGACCCGATCCAGGTTTGAGAAGTGACTAGAAGAAACCTCATGTTTCTGCCCAAATGCAGTTTTACGGGTCAACACAACAACAATTTGCTCACTGGCCAGGGTCTCTTAGTGTCAATGTGAGGGTGGAGGTTGGTTGAGGACCCAAATGCACAGATGAGGGAGGCAGAGAAGAGTAGTTGCAGGTTTAATAAAATTAAAGGAAACAAACAAAATCCAAGAGCAGAATACTAGAAACCAAAAACCAGGGGAAAACACACATGAGGAGCCAAGCAATAACAGAGCTATAAAACCAGGAACTGCAGAGGTGGTGTATATATGGGGAACAAAACAAAGAATGGTTTGATGGCTGATATGGAGCAGATGTGAATAAATCGAACTAGACGGAAGCCAATGAAAAAAGAACCAGGCACACAGGGACAACAGAGCGTAACTCAAAAACTATAAAACTGCATGAAAATAACACAAAATGGAAAAGAAACCAATGAGCAAGAAAACACAGAATAACATAAATCAAAGTGTAACCGAAAACTTTAAAAAGAAACTCAAACAGAAGTCCACATGGGTAGAACCATATCACCTACATAAAAGGGTTGTCTCCTTGATCGGCTGTATAAAGTCCAATTGTCTTTCACCAATTTAGTAATTTACACTATGGATATCAGCAAAGTTAATTAGTGTGTCTAGCTATACCTAGCTATAAGTCAGGTGTGTCTGTGGGGGCTGCAGGAATCAGTTAAAGGCAGATTTAAAGGTCCTTCTTTGTCAGATTAAGTGGAGGTTTGAAGAAGACCCAAATGCAGAGACCGAACTTGAAGGTGGTTTCTAGCAGATTTAATAACAAAAAGTTGGCAACTGAAACAAAAAAAACCCAAGATAACAAAATAAAGAATTAACAAAATACAGAAGGTCATCAGGAAAAACACTCACAAGGAGCAGAGAACCAGCAAACAGTGACTGAACAGAAGGCGTATAAATGGGAGACTGAACAAAGACCAGGCTAATCAGTAGATTGGGAGCAGGTGTGAACAGAGGAGTCTAGAAGGGAGCTAGGAGAAGGAGACTGACACAAGAGGGCAGCAGACGGCAAACAAGAAATACATAAAAACTATAAAAATATAATCACGAACCACTAGAATAACAACAAAATGGAAATTAAACAAATTAACTAGAAAACACAGAAAGACATGGATCAAAGAACAACTGAACCCCCCCCCCAAAAAACAAAAAAAAAACTTAAGCCCAACCAAAAAGAGAAGAATTATGATACTTTCTTACCAAATCTACAGAAACGCGATAAAAAGGATTCAGGCTCTCAAATCATGTCCCAGACTCTGCATCACACTGATAACAACAAAACACTGCAGATTTGCACCATATAGATTAATGCTCTGAACTTCCAGATCAATGCAGTTTATGACCATGTTTTTTTCCTCCCACACTGTTTACATTTGATCACTGCTGCACCTTAAGGAATAGAAATGTCATGAAAATTCTATAAAAAAGAAATTTGTATTAAAGTGACAATACAATTTGTCTAAGTCTGGGTCAATTTTGCCACTTCTGTGAGACTGTAATTGCAAATGGTTTATGAAAAATGTGAATATGCTGTCATTTGCTCTTCACAAGAAATGAGTCTATAATCTGATAAATCTGGAATATGGGAGATGAAATCCTGAGGAATTAGTGCATATTTTCCTGGGTTTAACAAACACCCAATCCAAATGATGCTATGCCCTGGGGTCCTCTGGTACGGAGGCACGCTCAGTTCCTGAGAATAAGTGGATCTTAGGCTGCCTTTGATTCTGTCTACCTGTCCTATGGTGAAAAATGTTACAAATGCAGAGTATTTATTCCCTTCTATTGAGAGTGGAACCAGTGCGACCCAGTTCATCTGTAAATGGAAATACATGGATGTAACCCCACTTTGCTGAGAAGGAGTTAGATCCATGATGGATGATGGGTGGAGCTGACAGCAGGTGGGAGAAACACCTGTTTGCTGTCAGATTATGAGGAAGAGCGATGTGTCACCTGCTGGGATGCAGCATCCCTGGTCCTCCACAGGTGAGCAACGGGCATCATCTGATCTGAGCAGGCCAGAACCTGATCTACATCCTAAATAATGGGAGCTGGCTCGGAGCTCGTCTGCCTTGCTGTTTGTTTCCTGGATGGGGCCGCCTGTGGAGCTGGTTGACAGTTGCCTTTTGTATCTATGCTTCTTTTTCTATGTCTGCTTCTGTCTCCTTGAACCCCAGTGGGCCTCAGCAGATGGCCGCTCACACTGAGCCTGGTTCTGCTGGAGATTTCTTCCTGTTCAAAGGGAGTTTTTCCTCTCCACTGTCGCTACAAGCATGCTTAATGTGAGGGATTGCTGAAGAGTCAATGAGTCGATGCAATCAGCTGGTTTTCCTTAGATAGAAAACTTTGAATCAATCTGACTGGAGGATCTGGTGAACTGGAAAGTTCCTGAGATGACATGGTGTGAATTGGAGCTATAGAAATAAACTGAATAGAACAGAAATAAGACTCTTTTCCTGGTCTCACATCCTGGGAACTGATGCTGACTCCCTGGAAGAGGTTGGTTTTCTCTGAATGCCGTGGAACCAAATTGCAGATAGTGTTCTGAGTTAGCTGTGTTGCTCTGTGACCTGAACCATCCATGCTAGTCAGGTCTCTCTCCCTCTGTGGTCTGAAGCTGTTCTGCTTGGTGGAACTGCTCACTGCACTATTAAACTTATCCTGCTCCATCATGGTTTCTCTCTTTCTCTTCATCTGACCTTCATCCTGTAAACAGGGGGCCTCCTTTCTACACTCTTCCACCTTCCTAGCTCTGTTTTTGGCCTTCAGAAGCAGTTCTGTTTCTAGCTGTGACTTTCTCTGATACAGCAAGGCAAGCTGACCCAACACATTATTAACCAACAGATCTCTTTTTGGATTTCTAGTTGACTAAACCAGTTACTGAATCTCACTTTCACAAGCCTCTGCTGAGACTATTTATCGCTCTATGCTCTTCTGTGGACAAAGATTAAAGAGATAATTAGAGCTGAGGCTTCCATCTCTACAGAAGCCTCAGATGGTCCCACTGCTACCTGATCCTGTTCCCTAGAAATTCTGTTCACTAGAGGAAGAGGAAGCAGGGAATGTGGCTCACAAGCTACAATCACTAAGTGTGTTAGCACAGCACGCACAAAAGCTGACACTCTCCATTAGCTGTAGGTCTGTTTACCTATTCAGTTCAGTTTATTTCTGATGCTTCAATTCACATCATGTCATCTCAGGTCACTTTATAGAGACAATTCAACCAGATCATCCAGTCAGATTGATTTAAAGTTTTCGAAGGAAAACCAGTTGATTGCATCGACTCATTGAATCTTCAGCAATCCCTCAGACAGGCAGACGAGCTCCGAGCCAGCTCCCATGTCAGAGGATGAAGAGAGCACATCCAGTTAGTCACAGTCAGAGAAACAGGACTACACTGGAAAACAGGCCAAGCTCCAACATCTAGAAAAAAAGGTGTTGATGGCAGCAGCACAGCTGATATTTCTCTCCAGGATGGAGTCACAGCCAAACAGGAACAGACCAGATGAAGCTACTATGAGAAAAAGCAGAGAGAGCAGAACGTTAGAGATTGAACTAATAGATTCTGCAGAGTGGGAGAATAGAGATAGAATGAAGCAGAATGATGAAAAAGGGGTCCCTATGTCCTCCAGCAGTCTAAGCCTATAGCAGCATAACTATAGAGATAGCTCAGGATAACCTGAGCCACTCTAACTAGAAGCTTTATCAAAAAGGAAAGTTTTAAGCCTAGCCTTAAAAGTAGACAGGGTGTCTGCCTCACGGACTAAAACTGGTAGCTTGTTCCACAGGAGAGGAGCCTGATAACTAAAAGATCTGCCTCCCATTCTATTTTTAGAAATTCTAGGAACCACTAGTAAACCTGCAGATTGAGAGCGAAGTGCTCTGTTAGGAACATAAGGAACAATCAGATCTCTGATATCAGATGGAGCTTGGCCATTTAAGGCTTTATATGTGAGAAGGAGGATTTTAAATTCTGTTCTTGATTTAACAGGAAGCCAATGAAGAGAAGCCAGGATAGGAGAGATATGATCTCTCTTTTTCATTTTCATCAGAACTCTGGCTGCAGCATTTTGGATCAGCTGAAGGCTTTTAACTACAGTTTGTGGACTTCCTGATAGTAAAGAATTACAATAGTCCAGCCTTGAAGTAACAAATGCATGGACTAGTTTCTCAGCATCACCCCTGGATAGGAGATTTCTCATTTGTGCAATTCTAGAAATTAATCTGGTCTTAAAAAACTGTCAAATAACAACTAACACACAAAAGGACAAATGAAGTGTTTGGATATCTCTTCTGAAGTGGCAAAGCTGACAGAAGAACTATATAAATAAACTCAGGGTTCAAACCTATTGTCTGAAATCACCACTCTACAATTATACCTTAAATACTATTTGTCCACAATAAAGGAAAAGAGAGAAGACTCAAAGAAGGTATAACTGTAATTCAAAGATCCAACACCAAGGGGAGCGGGGCGCCTTCACCTGTGCTGACACATTCACGCCACCACTGACCTCTATTTATTCCCTGGATTGCTGACTGCCTTGTTAGTGGTACAGGGTGGAGTGAAGCCACCGGCCGCCATATTGGTACTCCCTAGTAATGTAAACAAGCCGTGCACTACAGCATTGAGCAACCATGATGTTCTCACTTTGACACACTGGCTGTTTAACAGCATCACTAGATTGCTGTCACTTATGGTAAATAAACAGTCACATTGCATAGTGAGTACTTAATAACTTTACAGAGCTTCAGTTTCTATACAAGCAAAATCACATAAATTGGCAGAATAACAGGAAACATTAAATTCATATTTTGCTTTCTGCTCATAGTTACAACAAGAATCTGATCATTTGCATATACTATACATACAAGTACAGTGGGGGAAATAAGTATTTGACCCCTTGCTGATTTTGCGGGTTTGCCCACCTACAAAGAATGCAACGATCTATAATTTTAATCATATGTACATTCTAACAGTGAGAGACAGAATCCCAATGAAAATTCCAGAAATTCACATCATATGAATTTATTAAAATTAATAACCATCTGATGAGGAAAAACAAGTATATGACCCCTGGAAAAACAGCATGTTAATATTTTGTAGAAAAGCCATTATTGGCCAGCACAGATGACGGCGTAGTGTGTTACCAACCGTTTCTTTTGTAACTGTGGTCCCAGCTGCCTTCAGTTGATTCATCAGTTCCCCCCTTGTGGTTTTGGGATGATTCCTCACCGTTGGCATGATCAGGGACACCCCACGAGGCCAGATCTTGTGTGGAGGTCCAGACCGAGGGAGGTTGGCGGTGGTGCGGTGCTTCTTCCATTTCCTAATAACTGCACCGACAGTTGAATTTTTCTCTCCAAGTTGCTTTCCGATTCTCTTGTAGCCCATCCCAGCCTTGTGCAGATCAACATGTTGTCCCTGATGTCCGTAGAAAGCTTCTTGGTCTTGCCCATGGTGGTGATGTTGGATGCTGCTTGTTGACAGGTGTCTTTTATACAGGTATCGAGGTGAGGCAGGTGTATTTGATGTAGATAATTGGTTGGGATTGGGGCTGTGTCTTAAAGAAAGACTAACTGGCTTGTAGGAGCCAGAATACTTGCTGTTTGGTAGGGGGTCATATACTTGTTTTTCCTCATCAGATGGTTATCAATTTTCATTAATTCATATGAAGAGATTTTCTGGAATTTTCTTTGGGATTCTGTCTCTCACTGTTAAAATGTACATGTGATACTATAGATAGTTGCATTCTTTGTAAGTGGGCAAACCTGCAAAATCAGCAAGGGGTCAAATTCTTATTTCCCCCACTGTATGTCTGCACACACAAACACATACAATATCCAGTGATTGAATACCTTTAATAATACAACTTACTCATGTAGTCTCAATTCACATTCAAATACACAAATATATGTTTTTTCGTCAATATGACATGTAATATATTTCTTTTTCACATGAGAAATACAGAAACACTTAAAAAACGACAGCATAATCCACTTGATAAAGAATTACTACATTGACATTTCACAGTGAATTACTTTCTAATTCCTCTACTTTCTATTTTCTATCAATGTCAATGGCTGACAGTCAATGTCTTCCAGTTTTCTTGGTTAGTTCATCCACTGAATGGGGAATGACCTGTGAAACGTCTTCACACAGCCGGCAAACTGCATATAATACATACATATCATTTCCATTTGATCGTTTTCTTTAAAATCTTTACTAATAGTTCATTTTTTTCTCTGCATCTTCAGGGAAGGCTTAAGGATGGCCAAAGGATTTGTGGATATGTCAGAGGAAGACAGCAGCGGTCATGGAGGAGGAAGGCACAGCAGAGCCATCTTTTGTGGACGTTGATAAGGGCCTGACCCTCACCGGCGTGACCTTCCTCTGCCTGCTGCTGATAGCAATGATCATACGCTGCGCCAAGGTCATCATGGACCCTTACAGCGCCATTCCCACCTCCACATGGGAAGAGCAGCACTTGGACGACTAATACTTTCACCCACACAAACAGTTTGCAGATCATGTGTTCCCACTGGACAAACCCAGCAGGGTCTTCCCCCAGCAGGAAGCAGGGATCCTCTTTCCATTGGTTTTGGGATCTCTATCTATTTCATCTGCTAGATTCAAAATGTAAACTGCAATTCACTCTGTGTGCAACAGAAAAGGAGCACACAGTTGATTATTAGGAGCTTAACTTTTTTCCTTCACGCAGGCAGCACCAAAATGCCATGTGCACATGTGCAGAGCCTCACAGCTCGTAAAGTCACAGAGCTCTTCTCAGTCATCACATAAACCAGTCAGCATAACATTGTCAGGACAGTTCTTCACATGTCAGTGTCCTGTGACCTACTGTAGGGCCTTCCAAAAAAGTAAAAACCAACCACTGGACTTTGTTTCCAAGTTTGAAGACGTTTCTCTTCCATCCAGGAAGCTTTTTCAATTCCAAATGTCAGAAATAGCATTAGGTTCCAGGTTTTATCCTGCAGCCCAACAAAGCCTGGTTTTAGTTTAGAAAACATGCAAATAGAAACGGATGAACTGGTCCCCCCCTTTGCAATGGGGGTTGTTTGGCTTCTTTGTTAGCCTGCAATGCCCCATACCTGTCTATGTCTCTGAAAGGGGGGTCGTTAGAGGGAATTGTTGGCCTGGCTGAATAGGCAATATCTTGTGTTCTCCTGTAAAGGGGTTGGAGCTGCGATGATAGCGGGAAGGAATCAACTCTATCGCTGCATTGGAGGTTATTGAAAGCTGAAATCTGCCCCCCCCCCCACCATGTTTAAGGTTGGTACATTAGGGCCGTTTTACAGTTTTAAACATTGGCCTTCTAATTTAACACTGATGTATGCATAGAAAGAAATACACAACATAAAAGTACCAGGCATTAACTTTATTACTGGATGGAGAAAATCCATCACGTTTCACACATTCAGTGAGTAAAAAAACGCACAAGGAGCACAAACTGAGAGCTAAACTTTACCCTGGATGTAACCAAGTATATCTGAGAAATGCCAGCTGACGTTTCACCAAAGGAAGGAATGTTTGTTGGAACTCTATGGCTTCTTTTCATAGTCGTTTGAAACCTGCATCAGAGTCAACATCAGTTCACAGATGGTCTAAAGTTCTACGTATGAGAACACTGCGGTTCCTCTATTATTCCCCGCAACAGTTTGTCAAAAACACTCCTGCCATGAGTGACAGGAAGCAGCCTGGACTTATGGAGGCGGTGCAGATCAAGGATGGAAGTGGAGCGAGGAAATTTCCTTTTTTCCCAAACAACTGATGGGTTAAAACAGCCGCAGAAAACAGACTCTGAACAGGAAACACATCAGGTCTGCTTCTGACAAACGCATTTGTCTGATAACAGAAGAACATAACAGCCATTACGGCATACCGTTAAATAGACACTATGAACATTATTGATATACTTTCAGTGAAATTATTATGAGCTTGCTGTCCTGGGGGATTTTTGAAAATGAGCCAAAATGCAGACCAGAAATAAGGAAGATTCTAGTGGCAGTAATGACTTAATCACAGCGAAAACAAAATGATTTTTACAAGAACAAACCCAATAAGAACTACCAGGAGCACAACGGAAAAACCAGCGGATTGCAATCAACAACAAGAAGCTTAAACACTGAGCAGAAATGAAGGCAAGCGAAGCTAATCAGAGCACCAGTGAGCTGCTGAGGGACAGTAAAGAACGGAGAGGAAGGAAGGAGACCAGAGAACGCTGAGGAAGAATGACCACGTTACAAACCAAAGGAAAAAAGACCAAATGAGACTCAAAATGGAAAAACGACAAACACCAGACAGGGAATAAAATATACAATTAACTGATTATAGAAAGAATCCACAAACAACCCACAACCCAACTATATATGGCAAGACATAAATGGCAATAATGATAGGAGCACAAAAACTGGTTGATTATGAGAGACGTTCTAAAATTATTATTAGTAATAAACCCTTACTTTAAAACACTTTACTTTTGATCGAGATGAAGTTGGGGATTAATTAAAGGGGCTCAGCACAGCTTTTCACCCCCGTATTATTTTACCTGAGATGATTCAATGTAATTTATAGCATTGATGCTCAGAGTGGGCTGCTATATGTAACTAGAGAGGGTCTGATGAGTCATGTGACCAAAAGCACCAATCTAGGTCACACAAGTCCTGGGCCCAATCATCCAAATCCACTGCTAAACCTTATAGTCATAGTTCATTTTATAGTGAATGCGGAACTGTACGGGGAGCCAGTGGAGCTGTAGGAGGACCGGAGTGATGTGGTGGATAGAGGGAGTTCTGGTTATGATGCGAGCAGCTGAGTTCTGGACCAGTTGTAGCTTGTGGAGTGATTTCTGAGGAAGTCCAAAGAGGAGGGAGTTGCAGTAATCTAATGGGGAGGTGACAAGGCTGTGCACAAGTATGGCAGTAGTGTGTGGGGTAAGGGAGGGATGGAGGCGGTTGATGTTTCTTAAGTGGAAGTAGGCAGAACGGGTAATGTTATTTATATGGGATTGGAAAGATAGTGTGCTATCGAGGATGACACCCAGACTCTTAACCTGGGGGGAGGGGGAGATGGAGGAACTATCAATAGTAACTTGGAAACTGTCGGTTTTGGAAAGAGTTGATTTGGTGCCACTGTTTACTGTTTAATTGAAGGAAGCTGTTGGTGAACCAGGCTTTTATTTCACAGATGCAATTTGTGAGGGAGGCGGGCGGAAGAGAGGACAATGGTTGCTTGGTTAGGTAGAGCTGGCATAGCATCGGCATAGCAATGGAAGTGGATGTTAAATTTATGGAAGACTATTGCCAAGGGGAAGGAGGTAGATGATGAAGAGCAGGGGCCCCAGGACAGAGCCCTGGGGCACACCTGAGGTGACGGGGGAAGGGTGGATTTGAGGGTCTTCATGTACTGAGTGCAGTCAGTAAAGTAGGAAATAAACCAGGTCAAAGGAGTGTTAGTGATGCCTGCTGAGGAGGGTGGTGTGACAGATGGTGTCAAAGGTTGCACTCAGGTGGAGGAGGATGAGGATGGTGAGCAATCCAGAATCAGATGCCATGAGGAGGTCATTGGTCAATTGGTGATTCTTGTGTTTTGCAACTGGCGCCACAGAGCTACAGCCACGCACATGGGGTGTCTCTGAGTTGCCTTAGCAATGACACCATTGGGCCAAAGGGAGCTGAACCTTGTAGGGCTTTGTTTGTTGTAAGGCAACAGAACAGGAATCCATCCACCCAATCAGAAATATTTAGGATTGAACCTTTCCATGATTTCACAGCCTGCTGGTCCAAACTGCTCCGTTATCAGATTCCACTGAGCTGACTGCAGTATTACCAGTTTATTTCAGGATATGCTATAAGGCAAAACAATTTCATCTTAACCTTTTTTATGTGCTTCATCCAAACTTTTCTATTTTCCTTTGTTCTAGAGTCTCATCCTGACACAAAGTTTATCACCATTCAACACTAAACGCCCCAAAGGTCCCACAGCTCATTTAAAGCTCAGAACAAACTGAAAACATGTTAATGTTTAACCATCTGCAGAGCTAACAGAAGAAGGCTCGGTCTATGTTTGCATATCTTACCTTTAATATATTTCACCTTGCTTCCCAAACTTGTAATGAAGTACAAATAATTCATTACAAGTAATTATTTTAAAAACTTTAATTTAAGCTAATTTTCATTATGGCCTGTTGGTATAAAAAAAAACATCAAAATTATATAGCTTGCACAAATGAAATAGTTTTTCAAGATGATGCAAAGTTAAATGTGACTCTGTTACCATTAATTATAAAACTAAGAAACTGTAGTTTAAGGAAGTGATCATCCAGAATGGTAGAAAAATGTCACTTTAATAGAGTAGAGCAGTAAAGTTTCTGGCCTTAACAGTTTTTCCTGCATTACTTTTACTTTTATACTTTAAGTAGTTTTAAAAATGCTACTTTTACACTTTTACTGGAATAAAAAAGCTGAATTTGATCCTTTAACTTCTATAAAAGTGTTTTTAAACAGTAGGATGTAAAGGTTTGGAAAGCCTGTCTGTGGGATGTGGCGGTGGAGCAGCGGTGGAGCAGCGGTGGAGCAGTGGTTACGCGTGTGAGCAGAGGCTTTGGTCCTTAACGTGACGGTCACAGGTTCAAGTCCTTTCACCACATGTGTTCCCCCTCCCACCAATAAATAAATTAAGACTACTGGTGCCAGAAAAAAAAGCTTTAAAAAAAGGAGGCCCATCTGTCTGCTGATGTTGATCATTTTGCAGCAATCTCCTCATGTATGAAACAAACATGAGCAAGCACATCATGTTGGCTCTATGTCTGGGTGAAACATTCCCAAAGATGGATGCATAGAATGGTTTAAACCCAGTTTCTGGTTCCGTCTCTCTCCTTTAGAAAGAACGAAAGCACAACGAAGGCTCAGCTGGAGGAACAGTTCGATTAAACGGGCTTATTTTCTAAGGCTTGCTATACAAACTCCCAAAGTCTCAAGGCACAGTTTAAAAGACGTTCATTTCTGTACAGTATGTCAGAATGTCACTGTATGCATTTTACTGTAAAGCACATATGCAAATTTTATATTTTTTCTAAAAACTCTGTTATTGACTTGCTTCTAAACTTGACGGTGTCTTTGTGGAAACTCTGAACCCTTTACATTTGCATGGTGACCAGCAGATCAGTGAAGCCTCCATGTCCGCGTTTCACTACCAACCAAATGAGTTTGTGTCACAGAAAAAAAAAAAAAAAAAAATAAATTTTTGCCCTTTTTTCCCCACTAAACAGCTTAAATAATGCAGTAGGACAAATAGCGCTACATCTATTTTATTTTATTTTTCAGTTAAATTATCTTTTAGTCTGGATTTAGATGACGTGTCTGTGAAAGTCCATCATGCACAGCCTGTGACCCCGTCTGCTCTGCAGTCTGAGGTGTGATACCTGCTGTGGAAGCAAAGTCACAGGAAACAGCGTCTAAACGATCCTCAATTTTTCTCTGGTTCTTTAGTGTCAGAGTTTGCATTTAATGTTTAAAGCCAGGAGAAAACAACATAGCTGCATCCTGCTAGCATGCAACAACGTGTTTAAATATAAAGAGAGAACAGAACAATATTTAAGACATAAGTAATGATATTTTCTTGGATTTTACAGTCATTTGCTGTAGTTTTATAACTCAGCTGTGTTCTTTCATTTTGCCTTACACAGCAGGTACTTTAGAGTGAAAAGTGCCATTCTGATTTTGATCATGCTTAAAACAGTCTGCATATTCAGCATTTATATGTATTAAAAACTTGCATTTGCATGTTCTGAAGTGCCTTTTAATCCTAATCTGCTTGGTTTCCAATAAGAAGAATCCTGAGTAACATATTTTTGCTGTAACTGTGTTGGATAAATAAACCTTGAACTGGACAATAAAATTATTTACGTCTTAACATAATTTATTAGGATCTTTTCTCATTCAGCATGAAAGCAAACAGAAGAAAAGCTGCTGCCTGTTATCTGATTATTGTTTATTGTGCATAACTAGGAGATCTAGCACTACAAAAAGAATAATGCAGCAGAATATTTTCACAAAAACGTGTGGCAGTATAGAGTAAGAGGCAGATCTACAATTGAGGTCTTGCTTTGATTGGTTCTTTACACCAGCTGGCTTCCTTGGTTCTGCTGACATGCTACCCCTCTGACTTCAGGCATTGGTTGTTCTGTTGGCAGTGGTGGCCTCTGGATGTATCCAAGTTTTTGTCACCATTGTGACACCCTGTCTACTTTTAAGGCTAGGCTTAAAACTTTCCTTTTTGATAAAGCTTCTAGTTACAGTGGCTCAGGTTATCCTGAGCTATCTCTATAGTTATGCTGCTATAGGCTTAGACTGCTGGAGGACATAGGGACCCCTTTTTCCTCATTCTGCTTCATTCTATCTCTATTCTCCCACTCTGCAGAATCTGTTAGTTCAATCTCTAACGTTCTGCTCTCTCTGCTTTTTCTCATAGTAGCTTCATCTGGTCTGTTCCTGTTTGGCTGTGACTCCATCCTGGATAGAAATATCAGCTGTGCTGCTGCCATCAACACCTTTGTTTCTAGATGTTGGAGCTTGGCCTGTTTTCCAGTGTAGTCCTGTTTCTCTGACTGTGACTAACTGGATGTGCTCTCTTCGTTCTCTGACATGGGAGCTGGCTCGGAGCTCGTCTGCCTGGCTGTGTGTTTCCTGGACGGGGCCGCCTGTGAAGCTGGTTGACAGTTGCCTTTTGTATCTATGCTTCTTTTTTTATGTCTGCTTCTGTCTCCTTGAACCCCAGTGGGCCTCAGCAGATGGACGCTCACACTGAGCCTGGTTCTGCTGGAGGTTTCTTCCTGTTCAAAGGGAGTTTTTCCTCTCCACTGTCGCTACAAGCATGCTTAGTGTGAGGGATTGCTGAAAAGTCAAACTAAATCCAGACTAATATTGTTGCCCAAAGCTCATCCAGGAGGATGATGTCCTTCACAGCCATGACTTGATGCAATGAGATGGTTTTCCTAGATTGAAACCTTTAACCAATCTGATTCTCTCTGTAAAGTGTCTTGAGTTGACTTGTATTGTGAATTGGCGCTGTATAATAAACAGAGATGGCACTGAGCTGCTGGTAATCTTCTAAACTACCTTCATTTAATCTTTCCTGTGCTTGTCGATCTGATTTTCCTCATCCTAAAATAGGTCCAGACTGCAGTGAGGAGATGTACAGAAAGGATCATCTAGGATACCATTAGTTCTATCCAGAACTTCTACAGGTTTATGGATAAGAAAAAAGCATGTTTGCAAACCCCACTTATCCTTTAGCCAAACCATCTGGATTTTACCATCAGGTTGATGCTACAGAGTTCTTTTAGCGACAATCAACCAACAGAGGGAGACAGTTTGTTCTGATTAACCTAATGAACACTTAACAACCATTGTACCAGAAATAAGACAAATTTAATCTTTCTTTAGCGGAAACATGAATACATACATGTTTGCAAGAATAATATTCAATTTCCTGTTGTTTTTTTAAAATATATTTTTATAGTAAAGTTTCTTTGTTTTGAGGAAACTCATATTCTCTGATAAATTAACCAACTTGGTGATTATCCATCAATTGATTATAAACTATTTTTCATAAGCATCATGAACCTGTAAGGTAGCAGCAGCATGGGATGGGCTAAAAGGTGCTGATATCTTGAAGGATGAAAGGAAAGCCAGAATACACAACAAATACTGCTGCTCTCTGTCACGTGTTTCTTTATTTGTTCCAGAAAATTATAACAGAATGTTTCAATGACTGAGGGCTGGGAGGATGGTTCCTCTGCAGAGTCCAAAACCCACTCTGTATCCGTCTCCTTGGCAGTGGCCTGAGGAGAAGATGTAATCAGACATTAGTACAACATATCTTTACTTTATCTCATCATCATTAAACATCATGCTCATTTGATTAGAATACTGTTAAAAAGTTTCTCTATTTTCAACTTGTGTAGTACAGTTAATGTACACACATATTTAGTCAGGAGAAGATCAGATCAGCTCTGTTAACTTCTACATTTACTTCATCTGAAGGATATATTTTTTCTTTTACATCAGAATATCAAACCTTTGATAATGACTTCATCTCCATCCTGTAAGAATGTTCTGTTTTTTCCTTCTCCAACATCAATGGTCTTGGATCCTCTCCAGGACAGCTCCAGCATGGAACCAAAACTATTTGGATTCTGTCAAAATGAAAGAGATTTGGATTTTTCTGTGCATGATCATAGAATGCTTGTGGTCAGAAAATGTAGATTTATCTTATTTCATATACTGCTTTATGCTATTTACTGACTATAAAGTTTTCACTCAGCTTGTTTCACCTGCAAGGCCACACAATGCCTGAGTGAGGGGGTTTGTAGACCAGACATACTTCTTCCCATAAAAAGCCAGATTCTTTCTCCAGGTTTATTCATAACATCTTACTGTTTAACCAAAGTGTCTGTAATTGTTTTGACTCAGACTACTTTCCTTTATAGTAAGTAAGGAGGAACGAACGCTGCTCAGATCAGAACAGGGCTGATTACCGTCCAATAAGGGCCGTATGAGGAACTGTTTGCACTTTGGCAATATAAAATAAAATAATAGTGCCGACTGAGTGAAATCCATCCATCTCTGTTTATTTAACTGGAGTAAATATTTGGATACTTTTTCCCCACTGCAATGCTCTGCTGATTTTGGACTTTAATGAGGTTTAAATGGTCATAACTATCCTCCTTAGGTCATTTTAAAAGTAAACGATTGGCTTTATAGGAGAGTTACCTCCAGTCGAGTTTTGCATCATTGGCTGGTGGGTTCTGACTGAAACTGAACTTTTACAACATCAATTTCCCTTTAATAAAATATGTAATAAGTACTGTCTGAAGAAACCGAAACTGCCATGACAATATTCCAAAAAAAGTTAAAATCAATCCACTGGACTTTGTTTCCAAGTCTGAAGACGTTTCTCTTCCATCCAGGAAGCTTTTTCAATTCAAAATGTCAGAAATAGCGTTTAGTTCCAGGTTTTATCCAGCAGCCCAACAAAGCCTGGTTTTAGTTTAGAAAACATGCAAATAGAAACGGATTAACGGGTCCCCCCCTTTGGAATGGGGGTCGTTTAGCTTCTTTGTTAGCCTGCAATGCCCCATACCTGTCTATGTCTCTGAAAGGGGGGTTGTTAGAGGGAATTGCCCCCCCCCCCCCCCCCCCCCCCCGTTTAAGGTTGGTTTTTCTTTCTTAACATAGATGGTTTCCTTCACGCCCCTCTCAAACCACCTGTCTTCTTTGTCCACAATGTGAACATTCTGGTCCTCCAAAGAATGTCCTTTGTCCATCAGGTGTAGATGTAGCGCAGAGTCTAGTCCAGAGGAGGGCGCTCTTCTGTGTTGGGCCATGCGTCTGTGGAGAGGTTGTTTGGTTTCTCCAACATAAAGATCAGAGCATTCTGATCTCATTCTGATCTCACGTTGCATTTAACCCCTCCACTTGGGGAGCAGTGGGCTGCCATTGTGCGACACCCCCTTTGGAATGGGGGTCGTTTATCTTCTTTGTTAGCCTGCAATGCCCCATACCTGTCTATGCAGGGTGGGGTTAAGGGTCTTGCTCAGGGACCCAGAGTGGCAGTCTGTGGGAGTGGGGTGTGATCGAAGAACCTCTAGGATCCAGGCTCTATGCCCTAACCTATAGGCCGCCACTGCCTCATATTTATGTACAAAAACATTTGTCATTATTTTTGTTGTCTGTTAGTTGCTTTGTATTTTCACTAAATATGGTTTGCAGATCAAATTTCCAAGCTTTCTCCCAGCATTATAAGAGCAGTGTATTTTTGATGCTCTTGTAGCTCTAGGTTCCACATAAACCTCCTTAAAGCAGGATTGTGTTCTTTCATGTATTTTTCACATGTTGTGGTTCAGTGCATATCAAAACAGTGAGTTAGTAGTGAGCCATAGAGGTGCTGTGTGTGCAAACACTCACGGGTCCGCTGATGGTACCAGAAGCCAGCAGGTCTCCTGGTCTGACATTGCAGCCATTAACTGTGTGATGGGTGAGCTGCTGCTTCATTGTCCAGTACATGTACTTCATGCAAAGAGAGAAAGAATTATTAAGCTCATATAAAAAACTGTTTTTAATCACCAATATAAAACTTAAATATCAGATCTACCATAGATCCGCTCTCCTATTCTTACAAAGTTTTCTGTTTAAGAAACTGCTTAGTTTGCAGCGTGTTTACCTGAAGAAAACAGCTAACTGAAATGAAACTGGAATGATGAGAATTTTCTAGAATTTTGTTCCCTTTTTAAAACGAGTCAAACTGATTGATTTGAAAATAAAGGGAAATATTTCCAGGGAGGATGGAGGAAGGAGGGTGGAGGCAGGAGCGATGGATGATGGAGGATAGAGGACGGAGGAAGGAGGACTGAGGAAGGAGGGTGGAGGAAGGAGGAAGAAGGATGAGGAAGGAGGATGAAGGACGGAGGAAGGAGGGTGGAGGAAGGAGGAAGAAGGATGGAGGATGAATGAAGGACGTGGGAGGAAGGAGGGTGGAGGAAGGTCTGTGGCATGGTTGCTTCCGATGTTTCTCAGATTGGCCCAATAATCGAACACGGTGCCACCTTCACCATTAGCTGTGTTGAATCTTTCCTGAGAATAAAATTAGCCTCCAACAAGTTTTTCAGCAGAGGTCAGCTGAAGGTCGGATGATGCCGGATAATATCCGTCCCTTTTAAACCCAGAACATACAAAGATGGATGTCCTGATGCACATTCAGGACGTAAAAAAACTTTTATCCAGGAGACTATAGAAAATGCAATAACCCTTTGATTCCTGCATGTGAGATAACCAGGCGCCAGAGGCAACCTCATATGGATGGACCAATCAGAGGCAGCTTGATGTGGATGGACCAATCAGAGGCAACCTCATGTGGATGGACCAATCAGAGGCAACCTCATGTGGATGGACCAATCAGAGGCAACCTCATGTGGATGGACCAATCAGAGGCTCCCTGATGTGGATGGACCAATCAGAGGCAACCTGATATGGATGGACCAATCAGAGGCAACTTCATATGGATGGACCAATCAAAGGCAACCTCATATGGATGGACCAATCAGGGCATAGTGGGAACTGGGCAGGTATTACCAGCACAGAGTCTGGTCATTCAGTTTATTCTACCAAAGAATCAGCTCTAACATGTCTACATCTACAAAAACAACTTTTTAGATTAATTTTATTTGTTTCACATTTACTCCAACAGACTTGCTCACTTTTAAGTCATGTTGGACGAGATAGATATCATATTAAAATAAAAAAATAAAAAAATTTCATTTGAGATTAAAGTCAGAATTCTGAGATTAAACTCCGATTTCTCAGAAAAAGTCAGATTTCTTAGATTGAAATCAGATTTCAGAGAAAAATTCTTATTTCTGAGATAAAAGATAGAATTCTGAGAAACAATTCTGACTTTTATTCATCTTAAGTAAAATAAATATAATAAAAAAATCAGTTAACTTTTTTCCATACATATTTTCAGAAAGAAAGGTTACATCAAATAATCAGCATGTTTACAGTGGATCTGATGCTACTCTTAAAGTTTTGTTCTTACTTTAAAATTTGAGGTGCAGATGTTTACAGCCTCTGACATGTCCTGGCCTTAAAGAAAGAAAAAGAGGAAACGACGTCAAAGACAATTGATGTTAATTGCATAGAAACACACACAGACATACATGTTTTCTGGATTACATGCTGTGAACCTGGGAGGATTTTTACTGATATGTTTTCCTTTTTGGACCCTCATCATGCATCACTGAAAGCAGACTGGGATGCTCGGTGTCAGCCACATGGAGAGGACATCAACGCAATGACTGAGTGTAACTGACTACCTCACTTCCTGTGTAGATGAAACCATCCCTACTAGGGATGGAACGGTTTATGAAAACCGTCCGAACCGTTCGGTTCGACTGTCTCGGTTCGATTCGCATGTGTTTCGTTCGGTTCATGCGCTGCTCCTTTTTCTCATAGGCGAAGCGATTACACTCCAGGGCAGAAGGTGGAGGTACTGCGACCAAAGCCAACCACCAGTAGTAAACAAGAAGAAGAAGAAGCGAAGCAGCGTAGTCGGGTGTAGCTGAAAAAAATCAGTTGTTGTGGAGAATTGTGTGGGTATGGGGAGTGGGAAAGAACAGGAGTTTGATAATTTCTGTTTTTAAGGCTTGGGAGAAAACACCCAACATTAGGGATGTGTTTATGATTGGAATCAGATTACACTCTAGAACAGGAAAAAATCTCTTAAAAGGGAAACACCGTTTTTTTTTTACATTGGGCCCTTGATTTTACGTTATTAGCCCGGGCCACAGGCGGCCACGCTCTACCCCTTCTATTCATTCTAGCTAATCTGAATCGTTCAATTCCATTTGGAGAGCGAGATCATCTGTGGTAGCAGCACTAGACATCTTCCAGGCATGTGAGGAAAACTAGCAGCAGTTCAGTGGACAGGATGAATCAATGGTAGCCGGCGCACGCGGATGACGTCATACACACTCCGCTTTGTTTAAAAAAAATATAAATATAAAAAATCTAACGGCGGATGTCTGGGGGACAGTGATTGGCCTCCATGTTCTGAATGCTGGCGTACCATAAAGAATAAATGATGAACAGTTTAGTTTGTACCTTCAAGTCGTTGCCCATAGGAAGACGTTACTTGGATATAACCTAACGGAATATCTTCAGAACGGCTCCAAATGACACTAAACTCATATGGGGGAGTAGAACATGATGGAATAACGGAAAATCAAGGGACCAATAGGAAAAAAAAGAAACGGTGTTCCTCTTTAAGGAGACCTGTGTTTAAAACATCAAGAAAGCAGGAAGAGGAGATTAGCTGCTGAACAGTCTGTTCTAAACTTTTGCAGTTTATTAAGCAGAATTTGGACATTTTTGACAGACAGACAGCCAGACAGATAGGATGTGTATAATTGGGTGTGTATGGTACCCTTTAGTGACACAAACAGGTTAATATTGAAGGTGTAGGCATCATCATGTCGAAGATATGGGAGAGGTTCAGGATCCTGTAAAACAAAACAAAACATAGAAACATGAGATAATCAAACAGTAATATAGTTTGTATAAATTACTATGATTAATGAGGTGTCCATAAATGTTGAAGTCATTGGTTAAACATGTTCCTGATGCATTATAAAATATCATTCTGATTTGTTGAAAAACTGTTTTTTTATGATTGTAGTAAGAACCGAATGTTTACTTCAATTAAATCTTTACAAATCATTCATGCAGTCAAAGATGTTTGAGCATAACCTTTCGAATATGAGCCTTTTTTTGATGCATCTCTGCTCCAACACACCTGAATCTAAAGGTTAAATAAACTCCTGGCATGTCAGCCTGTTAAGTAGAGACCTGGACATCAATCATTCCTTTGTTTCAGGTGTGTTAGAGCAGGTACGCCATCAACAACTGCAGAACAGTGGAACTCAAGGACTCTAGAAGATCGGGATATGAATGTTTTCAATAAGTTTCAACACTTTCACTGACCTGTATGGGATTAGGCTCTGCAAAAGGCAAGAGTGCTTCCATTGGAACAACCCAGGGTGAGATGGTTGTTCCAAAATTCTTCCCTAAGAAAGGTCCAAGAGGAACATACTCCCAAGCCTGGATATCTCTAGCTGCAAAATAGAAAAAGCACATTCATAGGACTTTAATAATACGCAGAGGGATAAACTCTACCTGATCATCATCTCCTGATCTTTGCAAACAGCACAACACATTTTTTGGAGCATTTTTCCCTCTAAAATACTGATGATGTTAGGAGGCATTTCTTCATAGATCTATTCATTATGTACATTTTCTTCTTACCTGCTGATGGTTGAAATAAAATGATAGCTGTTTTAAGACATAAATGCTCATTTTTGTGTAAAATAAAACCCCACATATAAAGTTCCATCTTTTTTCTGAATGATGATAAGGACAATGAAACTAAAATCTACACACCATCACTGTTTTTACACTGGAAAAAATCTAAATCTACATAGGTAATTTTTTTCTTAAAATAAGTGCATTTTTTCTTGAATTTAGGGGGTAATTGAGACACTCTGCCAATGAATAAGACAATTCACATTTAAAATAAGAAAAAACAAATTCATTGTCTTATTTCTAGTGCATATTATCTAATTATCTTATTTTAAGAGTAAATATCCTCATCCCATTGGCAATTAATCTTATTTACCTACTCAAATTAAGGGTAAATACATTTCATTTAAGACATTTTGACTTATTTCTAGATCGTTTTTGCAGTGAACCTCTAACAGTGTGTTATGTGTTTTGCATTATTTAAAAAAGTGAAATATCGTTATGGGGCTGATGACTGACTTAAGTTTTTGATTCCATTCTCCTGCCCATCTCCGCCCAGTTCCTTATCACCACTCATCTGATCCAACAGCTCCAGTTTCTGTTTAACATGCATGTCTCCAGTAATCAGTGCCAGAATATTCTAGCCTTTGGTGAGCCTTCTAGTAAGTATTAGTGTTTCTGATTGCCTGATCCTGACCCGTTCTGCCTTTGGACTCTGAGCCTGCCTGTTCTGGTTCTGATCTGTTTGCCTGACATGTCTTCAGGCAAGAAGTCTTCGAGTCATGGGGACTACACAGCTATTGACACACTGGTGTCAACAAGCTACACTGTAGGCACAGCTGCCCCGGGGCATAAAGGCAGAAGTGAGACTGCTTTAGACTGGAATCAGTGGGCCCTCTGACAAACATCAACACGCAGCGCGGGTGAAGTGTCTCAACCAAGGACACATTGACTGAGGCTGAAAGAGCTGGGGTTCAAACTTGCATTCCTCCTGTTGCAGGACAAACTACTGCATCCTATGTCACCTCAAAGCCAACATTAAGACACACAAGAGTCATTGGCATACAAACACTCCTGCTTCTGCTCTATACTCCTAGATGCAGGTGCAAATGCCCCGGGGGGCAGCAGGCGACCAGCCCCAGGAACCAGGAGGTAGAACACTACAGCAACCAGGTCTGACAAGGGCAGAGCTCTACCCAAACCTGAATGACCCCCGTCCAGATCCCAGCAATGACCATATCCAGAGACGGACCAAGTCCACACTAGAGCCAACTAAAGCAACACTTTCATTTAACAGTCCTGCCCCCGCCAAGATTTCTGGTTCAATTCCAGGAACCCCTTGTCCCATCCAGGAACCTCCATGTAATTTAGATTTATTTCAGATTGATCACAGATTAATAAGATCATCGGTTTAATTTATTTTGTCCTACAAGGCTGCAACAGTAGAGTGTTAGTTAAAAAAACAATTCCATTCCAAAAAGGTATTTTGGAAATTTAAAAAGAGGATTTAGTTTATTGCAAGGAGGTGTGGCAGCCATATTTCAGTCCATTTTTTGATTAGTCCAAGGACATTTAATTGCAGTGCCCTGCCACAGCTTGTTTGTTGTTTTTTCCGTTGACCACCAGAGTCTCACTCTCAGCTTATAGATTAGTTCTTTTACTCGTTATCAAATTTAGTGCTACATACAGACAGAGTCATTACAATAGGGGATTGAAACATTCCTATTAATACTGAAAATTAGCTTTCTGAGCTAGTGTTGTGCTGACATAGGCTTAAGCTATTGGAAGACATAAAAACCACACTTCATTCTCTATTGTTCTGTGTTTCATCCTCATAGCTACGTCTGTCTTAGAGCTCTGTTAAGCTTTGATTAGCTACTGTTGTAAACAATGTCCTGTTAAACTCCATCCTGTCTTTCTCTTCTGGACATACAGTTGTGCTCATAAGTTTACAAACCTGGGTGGAAGTTTTAATTTCTTGACCATTTTTTAGAGAATATGAATGAAATAAGAACAATTTAAACTAATGATTTGCGGTTGTGTGAAGCCATTTATTGTCAAAGAACAATGTTTACTCTGTTTAAGTCTTACATTGATAAAACACTTCTTACCACTCCAGTCATTCATGAGCACCATCCCAAAGATGTGTTCATGGGCCTTGCTGATTGGAATGGGCTCCCCGAGCTGATTGCCTCCTCCAACAAAGAAAGCCTGTTATAGAAAGAAAGACAGATAACATTGATGAACATTCACATGTCAAACACAATGATTATTTATCCATCCATCCATTTTCCATCACGCTCATCCCAAGAGGGGTGGGTGAGGGGTGTTGGTGCCTATCTCCAGCTGTCTAGGGGCAAGAGGCGGGGTCCACCCTGGACAGGTCTCCAGTCCATCGCAGGGCAACACAGAGACAAACAACCATTCACACTCACGCCTAAGGTGAATCTAGAGAAGCCAGTTAACCTAACAGTCATGTTTTTGGACTGTGGGAGGAAGCTAGAGTACCCGGAGAGAACCCACGCATGAACAGGGAGAACATGCAAACTCCAGAAAGACCTCGGGAATCAAACCAAGAACTTTCTTGCTGCACGGCAGCAGTGCCGAGCAGCCACCTGATTAATAATGTCAAAGGATATTCCCTTTACATTCACGTAACAGGTTGGTTGTTCATCCAGTAAAATGAGACTAATTTCATAAAATAAATAATGTGATATAACAAATAATCACCATCTCAAGCTCAATGTCCAGTTGCTTGGAGGGGCCAAACACAGGAGGCTTAGCTGGAAGAAAGAAAAAAGGTTAATGTAGTAAATGTAACAAGTCTGTTTTATATATATATATATATATTACTGGGGTGCCTATGGATATTATGTTTAAAAAAGGTAAAATTACAAATTCCACAATAATTGTGCTAAACTTGTTGAAAATATTTCAGTTTCACCCAAATGTCCTAAAACTCAAAGTCGCTTTATTTTAGAACAAACTGGAACAAATGTTTGGTAGTTTTACTGCTGCTGTAAGGGATGTTGGAACATTCCTAGAGAACAATGGGCCTCATGCAACAACCGTCCCATCCACAAATTCTTTCTTATTATAATAATAATAATACATTTTATTTAACAGCACCTTCCTGGACACACAAGGCCACTTTACAGAAAATAAAAATAAATAAATATATTCATAAATAAAAAAAATAGAATAAAATAAGAAAAAAAAATACCAAAAATACAAATACAGGAACATAAAAACAGTTATGGATAGGGAAAAGAGCAGCGTATTCACAAATAAGCGAGCTGGAACAGACGGGTTTTGAGTCTGGCTTTGAATAAGGGGAGAGAGTCAATACTGCGGAGGTCGGGAGGAAGGGAGTTCCAGAGCTGGAGGAGGTGACAATGTGAAGGAGTTCTAACAGATATGGAGGAGCAAGGTTATGGATGGCTTTGAAAGTATAGAGAAGGATTTTAAATTGTATTCTGAATTGAACTGGGAGCCAATGGAGTTGGTGAAGGACAGGGGAAATATGATGGAAGGAGGGGGTTCTTGTGATGGCACGAGCAGCTGAGTTCTGAAGAAGTTGGAGTTTATGGAGAGATTTATGTGGGAGGCGAAAAGAAGAGAATTACAATAATCAAGACAGGAGGTGATGAGACTGTGAATAAGGACAGAGGCAGTATGAGTGGTGAGGGAGGAACGGAGACGGTTAATGATGCCAAGGTGGAAGTATGCAGTACCCAGACTCTTGACCTGAGGGGAGGGGGAGACCAAGGAGTTGTCAATGGTAGTGAGAATCTTTTGATTTTGGATAGGCTGGATTTAGTGGCAACGAGGAGGAGTTCAGTTTTATCACTGTTAAGTTTAAGGAAGTTTGAGGTGAGCCAGTCTTTAATTTCAAGTAGGCAGTTAGTAAGGGACAGGGGGGGAGTGAGGAAGTGGCCAAGGGGAAGGAGGTAGGTGATGAAGAGGAGGGGGCCAAGAACTGAGCCTTGAGGAACACCAGAAGTGACAGGGGAAGGGTGCGATGTGAAGGATTATGGCCGAATAAACTGAGTGTAGTCGGAAAGATATTTTGCGGAACCAGTCAAGAGGGATGTGAGAGATGCCAAGAGAGGATAATCTATTGAGGAGAATGGGGAGAGAAATGGTATCAAAGGCCGCACTGAGATCGAGAAGGATGACGATGGAGAGGAGTCCAGGGTCAGCAGCTATAAGGAGATTGTTTGTGATTTTTATTAGGGCAGTTTCAGTACTATGAGAGGGGCGAAAACCAGACTGGAAAGGCTCGTAAAGGCTGTTAAGGGTAAGAAAGGTGTTGAGTTGAGCAGACACTATTTTTTCAAGTATTTTAGAGATAAAGGGAAGATTAGAAATGGGACGAAGATTATTAAAGTTAGCGGGATCAGAACCAAGTTTTTTCAGAATCGGGGAGACAGATGCAGTTTTGAAAAGTGAAGGAACAATACCAGAGGAGAGTGAGGAATGAATAATGGAAGTAATGAAGGGGAGGAGGGAGGTAAGACCAGAGCTGTGGGGAGGGGGTCAAGAGAACAGGTAGAGGACTTGGATTTTCGAATAAGGTCAGAAATTTCAGTAGAAGTGGGCAGTAGGAAGGAGGAGAATGACTGGCTACGGGGGAGGGGCGGAGGGGAAGTGGGAGGCAAGGCGGTCATATGTAATTGCTGGTGAATGGAGCTGATTTTTTCATTAAAAAAGGTTAACAAAGAATTACAGGTCTGACTAGAATACGTGTAAGAAGGCAGGGTATCAGGGGGGGTCAAAGGTCTTGTGCATAATAGAAAAGAGAGACTTAGAATTTCCATCATTGGAACAGATAAGGTCAGAATAGTAGTTTGATTTAGTTATGGCTATTAAGTTTGAATATTGAAGAAGATGAGTTTTATGCATTTCTTTGTGTATGGAGAGCCCAGTTTTCATGAGGTGGAGCTCAGGAGTAAACCAAGGGACAGAGCGGGAAAAGGACACAGACCGGGTTTTGAGAGGGGCAAGGGAATTGAGAATATTGGAAATTCCAGAGTTGTAGTGGGTGACAAGGTGGTCCGGAGAGGAAAGAGCAGGGATTGGGATATTGTCAATGTGGGAGGATAAAATGTCTGTTTATGTTCTTAATATTATTATTTTTTTAATGAGTAAATGTTTCATTCACCATTTTTCTGCCATCAACACCTTTGTTTCTAGATGTTGGAGCTTGGCCTGTTTTCCAGTGTAGTCCTGTTTCTCTGACTGTGACTAACTGGATGTGCTCTCTTCATCCTCTGACATGGGAGCTGGCTCGGAGCTCGTCTGTCTGGCTGTGTGTTTCCTGGACTGGGCCGCCTGTGGAGCTGGTTGACAGTTGCCTTTTGTATCTATGCTTCTTTTTCTATGTCTGCTTCTGTCTCCTTGAACCCCAGTCGGCCTCAGCAGATGGCCGCTCACACTGAGCCTGGTTCTGCTGGAGGTTTCTTCCTGTTCAAAGGGAGTTTTTCCTCTCCACTGTCGCTACAAGCATGCTTAGTGTGAGGGATTGCTGAAGAGTCAATGAGTCGATGCAATCAGCTGGTTTTCCTTAGATAGAAAACTTTGAATCAATCTGACTGGATGATCTGGTGAACTGGAAAGTGACCTGAGATGACATGATGTGAATTGGAGCCATAGAAATAAACTGAATAGAATTTCTTCAATGTGAGATCAATAAAGTTCAATTCAATAAAACAAACCACTGTCCCTAAACATGTGGATTTCTTGAAGATGAGCTTTTCTTCCTGAGCTAAAGAGAAACATTTAATAAGCATGAAATGAAAATGTAAAGGACCCATACTTTGATCAGGCCTCATCTGGCCACACGGCCGGCGAATTGCGCTTCCAGAAACAACCAGTGACGATGCTCTGCCGTGGTATCCCACTGGAAGCCTCAACCTGCCAAACAGCACAGCCACAGGGAACACGGTTTGTATAATAAACACAAAAATGACAAGAACTGTTCAACTATAAACGGATCTTTTTCTTTGTAATCTAGCAAACTAAAAACATGCAGCCCATCTGTTACCATCTGTTTGAGTAAAAATAAAAATCCTTCAACAATAATAAGAAATAACAATTAATTTTGCATTAGAAAGAAAAGTCCTTTGGTTTTACCAGTTTGGCATCAAAGCGTTTTCCTTTCCTCGAAACATGATGCCAACATTGGTGGCGTGATCTCTGGAGGAGTAGAAGTCCGTGTAATCGCCTGTAAAACACGTGTTCAGTGATATTCGGTGATACATGCCTGCAAAGTGAAACCCTGATGAGTCCTTTCTGAAAGAGCACAGACTCACCAATGTCTGCAGGAAGGTGCATCGTGGCCGCACTTTGATGGACAAAGGCTCTGCAAAAAGCAAAACAATGATGGGAAGGAAACCTGGATTCTAGTGAGACTTCGAACATAAGTCCCAAACCTAATTAACCCTGAGCTATCTCTATAGTTCTGCTGCTATAGGCTTAGACTGCTGGAGGACATAGGGACCCCTTTTTCATCATTCTGCTTCATTCTATCTCTATTCTCCCACTCTGCAGAATCTGTTAGTTCAATCTCTAACGTTCTGCTCTCTCTGCTTTTTCTCATAGTAGCTTCATCTGGTCTGTTCCTGTTTGGCTGTGACTCCATCCTGGAGAGAAATATCAGCTGTGCTGCTGCCATCAACACCTTTGTTTCTAGATGTTGGAGCTTGGCCTGTTTTCCAGTGTAGTCCTGTTTCTCTGACTGTGACTAACTGGATGTGCTCTCTTCATCCTCTGACATGGGAGCTGGCTCGGAGCTCGTCTGCCTGGCTGTGTGTTTCCTGGACGGGGCCGCCTGTGGAGCTGGTTGACAGTTGCCTTTTGTATCTATGCTTCTTTTTCTATGTCTGCTTCAGTCTCCTTGAACCCCAGTGGGCCTCAGCAGATGGCCGCTCACACTGAGCCTGGATTTGCTGGAGGTTCCTTCCTGTTCAAAGGGAGTTTTTCCTCTCCACTGTCGCTACAAGCATGCTTAGTGTGAGGGATTGCTGAAGAGTCAATGAGTCGATGCAATCAGCTGGTTTTCCTTAGATAGAAAACTTTGAATCAATCTGACTGAATGATCTGGTGAACTGGAAAGTGACCTGAGATGACATGATGTGAATTGGAGCTATAGAAATAAACTGAATAGAACTGAATAATACAGAAGTTGTTTTCTAGCCATCATCCAAAACCTTGACTCATAATCTGTAACTAACTGGTAGCTGAAGATCCTCTGATAACATTCCTTGTTTAATGCAGAAAACAGTTTGAAAAAGGAAGAATAGATGGAGAGGAGTCAGTAACCCTCACAGCATCCAGCTTTAACCTAAGCATTAAACAAAGCAAGGAGAATACAGGCGCTTAAGAAGCTAAATAAAATGCTAATCCATGGAAACTCTTTCTGAAACATTTCCAAGTTGCAAGTTTGCACGCTGCCGACCGATGAGGCTGGAGGTTAGACCGACCTGCTCCGAAGGCTGACATCGTCTCTCAGGGTGCTCTCAGTGGCTGACAGCAGACTCTTCAGCGTCCTGCGGGTCTCGCTCCACGCCTCCTTACTGAGGGCCATGAAGGCGTTTAGTGTGGGCTGGAAAATAAAGAGGAGATGGTTTAGATGAAAGAATGACTATAAGATGTTAAGATGTCAAACTAGGCGATGCTGAGGGACGATCCTTCTACCTGGTGTTATATTTAAATGAGTTCAGCTGGTAGGAGCATTTCAATGACCGTGAGGATTTTTAGCTGAACCACCCTTAAGTGCAGAAAACAAACAGCACAGGGGAGGATTTACCACTAGGCAATAATGGGCAGCTGCCTAGGGCCCCAAGTTCCTGGGGGCCCCATAAAACTCTGATCCATGTATGGTTAATACAACTATTCCTTATTTCTGCACATTAATTATGTTTTTGATCAAAATCCTTTGGCTAAAATACCACCAGAACGCTGATAATATTAAGTGTGTCTCAGCCCCCCCCCTCCAGTGTCCACCATATTGGATCAGTCCATTTGCTGCATATGTTCAGAAAGGTCCAAACAGACAGCAGCAAACCATTTGAATACAAACGATGCAAAGAGCAGTGTTGCCAACTTAGCCCTTTAGTCGCTATATTTAGCCACTTTTCAGACCCCTCTAGCACTTTGATTTCTAAAAAGCTCCTAGCGCCAAATCTAGAGACTTTTTTCTGCTACTGGAGACTTTGGAGACAACATCTAAAAGCAGCGAACTCTGCTCTCCAGAGCAAGTAGATTGGTAACCCCGCCTCCTGCTCTCCTCTATCTTGTCTGCTGTCATGATTCATGCAGCTATTATTTCATCCAAATGAAAAATGGAGAACAGATAAGCAGATCATGGCTTGTCTACAGTGAAAAGAAGGACTGGGTTATTTACTTTGGCCTTTTTGGAAACACAGGAAGGAGCAATCAGCTAAGTGAGCTTAGTGCTTGAAAAAAATCTTTCATTCCTTTAGAGACAGCATGAAAAGTCAGCTGAGTACAAAACATAGAGAGGAAAACAAGAAGAGAGGGACAAAACCTAGAACAGATAATGGATGTCTATTCTATTAACATTTCTCTATCTGTAGAATGGCTCTGTTCTATGTTTTCTCTATTCAGAGGGCCCCCTGCCTGTCTTTGTCTAGGGCCCCACATTTCCTAAATCCGCCCCTGAGAACTAGTATGGAAGCTTTTAAAATCAGACATAAATGAAACTCTTTGTTCTGTAAAAATAGCAGAGCCTAAAATAAACTGTTATAAGTAGTGTTTTCTCTATGTGTTGCAGCTCTATCAGGTTCTGTTCAGCTGTAAAAGCTCTTTTTCTCCCTCCATAGATGATCTCTGTGGTTCTGTCTATCAGTGCTGATCTCCGTCTCTCTTCTAGAGGTTTAACTCCATGTGTCGTCTTTTCCACCTTCTCCTCTAGTGTGATTTTATTTTCTCTTCCACTGAACTCCAGGACTGGTTCTTCTCTCTCCCTTTAATGCCTCCGTCTCTTCAAACCTCCAGCTGTGGTTATGGAGTCACGGGAGGCCTCGTTCTACTGATGACGGAGTCTTTTTCTGGTGAGAGGTGAGTTTTTCCTTCCACAAAAACCAAACATGCAGATCAAATTATGGATCCCCATTTTAAATGAAAGAGAAATTAGTGAGAATGATTTTTAAGGATTAAACTGGTGGAACAAGCCTGAATAAAATGTTATCTTTAACTTCATATTTTGTTGCCTAATCTTTTTGAGGCTGCGATAAACACCTCCTCCCAGCAGCTATTCTGCTCCTCATCCAGGAGTCTCAGGCTTTCAGCTCCTTCCAGAGATGGAGCTCATGGAGTCCAATGTTTCCCTCTCAGCCGTTGCGTCTAGCTGTGACCTTTGACCTGCCGCTGAGACCAAGCTTTCTGACACTGCAGCACATTTCTCCCTGACAGTCTGCAGAGTTCATTGGAGCCTGCAGATGAAGCAAAGCAGCCCAGAGCATAACGGATTCTCCTCCATGCTCCACAGTAGGGACAGTCTTCTTTTTGTGACCTGCTACATTTTTCTGTTGGTGAAAAAATCTCCATTTTTGTCTTCAGGATTTAGTTTGATAAATTCCATTCTGACTTTATGATTTCCTTCTAACGATGGTTCCTCCTTTGTCGCCTCTCCTCCTCAAACACCAGAGGCTCTGACTGATTCTCCTTCAGTCTGAGGTTCACTTTAATCTCTTTTCTTTCCATTCATCTGATCATTAAAAACAGGTTTAGAAATCTGGAACCTCACCTGATCAAAGACATCCTGGTGTTTAGACATTACAGGTCCTACAAACAGAGACTTTATCACACTGAGGTCCAGGATTTGGTCTCCAATGGCAACACCGATGCGATGTTTGGGCTGGTGAGGGAAACAGAGATAATAAGGAACAGAACTGTTTTAATTTCTAATGAGGTTCCTCTTTAACACCAATGCTGAGAAATAGATGTTAGTGTTTATAGGTGAGCCGAGCATGCATCCATTACTGAGGCTTTAGTTTTCAGATTTCCTGCGGGGATGAGACTGGCTGGGTGACCAGCTTTTATTCCTCTTTAATAAAGTCTGAGGAAACTATCTGCTGTTCTTTGCTTTTTTTGCTGGAGTTATTCTGCTGCTTTTCTCTTTTAGATTCAAAAAGCTGGACTTACATTGTCAGAGGTGGAAAACACCCCATATGGGAGATTCTGGTAGGAAAAGTCCGAAGCTGCATCTACATTTATGAAGGACATCTTGTGCTTGGGTCTGATCAGCCGCTGGTTGTGAGATGAACTGAAATACTGGGAGGTGCTAAGTGCTTCCAGATGTGCAGCTTTGGGTAGATCCTCCTCCCACAGGGCAGCCAATCAGGGGCCACCTACAGCATCCGCCTTCTCCAGACCTCTGGGATCATTTATAACAGTCCTGAAATGACTAAGCAAAACTTTAAAAGCAGGGACAGAGCTCATCGTTTGTAAGCAGAGGAGATTATTTGCTATTGTCAGAAAGGACAAAGGAAGACAGAGTCCAGCAAAGGTGGAGATTAACAAGTAAACAAAGGGAGATTATAAAAGCTGAGTTTAACGCACACTTCACCGGATAGAATAAAATCCTGCTTCAAACAAAGAATAACAGCAGCTGGTGCTGGTAATCAAACATTATTCACACTAGTTTACCTTGCTGGGTAGGAGTGGAATGAAGGAATTACCTGACATGGAGAAAACCAAATAACTAAAGTAAATAAAAACTTAATGAAGAAGTAGAATGGGAGGCAGATCTTTTAGTTATCAGGCTCCTTTCCTTGGGAACCAACTACAGGTGCTGGTCATAAAATTAGAATATCATGAAAAAGTAGATTGATTTCAGTAATTCCATTTAAAAAGTGAAACTTGTATATTATATTCATACATTACATACAAACTCATATATTTCAGATGTTTATTTTGTTTAATTTTGATGATTACAAATGACAACAAATGAAAATCTCAAATTCATCATATCAGAAAATTAGAATATTGTGAAAAGGTTCAAAATTGATGGTCCCTGGTGCCACACTCTAATCAGCTAATTAACTCAAACCACCTGCAAAAGCCTTTAAATGGTCTTTCAGTCTAGTTCTATAGGCTACACAATCATGGGGAAGACTGCTGACTTGACAGTTGTCCAAAAGACGACCATCGACACCTTGCACAAGGAGGGCAAGACACAAAAGGTCATCGCTAAAGAGGCTGGCTGTTCACAGAGCTCAGTGTCCAAGCACATTAATAGAGAGGCGAAGGGAAGGAAAAGATGTGGTCGAAAAAAGTGTACAAGCAAGAGGGATAACCGCACCCTGGAGAGGATTGTGAAACAAAACCCCTTCAAAAATGTGGGGGAGATTCACAAAGAGTGGACTGCAGCTGGAGTGAGTGCTTCAAGAACCACCACACACAGACGTATGAAAGACATGGGTTTCTGCTGTCGCATTCCTTGTGTCAAGCCACTCTTGAACCACAGACAGCGTCAGAAGCGTCTTGCCTGGGCTAAAGAGAAACAGGACTGGACTGCTGGTGAGTGGTCCAAAGTCATGTTCTCTGATGAAAGTAAATTTTGCATTTCCTTTGGAAATCAAGGTCCCAGAGTCTGGAGGAAAAGAAGAGAGGCACTTCATCCACGTTGCTTGAAGTCCAGTGTAAAGTTTCCACAGTCAGTGATGGTTTGGGGTGCCATGTCATCTGCTGGTGTTGGTCCATTGTGTTTTCTGAGGTCCAGGGTCAACGCAGCCACATACCAGGAAGTTTTAGAGCACTTCATGCTTCCTGCAGCTGACCAACTTTTTGGAGATGCAGATTTCATTTTCCAACAGGACTTGGCACCTGCACACAGTGCCAAAGCTACCAGTACCTGGTTGAAGGACCATGGTATCCCTGTTCTTAATTGGCCAGCAAACTCTCCTGACCTTAACCCCATAGAAAATCTATGGGGTATTGTGAAGAAGAAGATGCAATACACCAGACCCAACAATTCAGAAGAGCTAAAAGCCACTATTAGAGCAACCTGGGCTATCATAACACCTGAGCAGTGCCACAGACTGATCGACTCCATGCCACGCCGCATTGCTGCAGTAATACAGGCCAAAGGAGGCCCAACTAAATACTGAGTGCTGTACATGCTCATACTTTTCATGTTCATACTTTTCAGTTGGCCAACATTTCTATAAATCCTTTGTTTTTATTGGTCTTCAGTAATATTCTAATTTTCTGATATGATGAATTTGAGATTTTCATTTGTTGTCATTTGTAATCATCAAAATTAAACAAAATAAACATCTGAAATATATGAGTTTGTATGTAATGTATGAATATAATATACAAGTTTCACTTTTTAAATGGAATTACTGAAATCAATCTACTTTTTCATGATATTCTAATTTTATGACCAGCACCTGTAAACACAAATGGACTCAAGGACAGCACCAAAAGAAAATAATCTTTTTATTCTGCAAGGGACTAAAGGCACAATGTTTTTTTTTTTTTTGCAAGAAACTCATTCCAGTGAAGAAGACACATATTTTTGGAGGAATCAATGGGGGGGGACACAATCTTATTCAGCCATGGAACTAACAAATCTGCTGGAGAGGCCATTTGCATGAACAACTGCCCAGGAAATGTGTTGGACGTTAAAGACTCAGAAGGTCACTGGATTGCTGTGGTATTGAATATTGATGGTCTTGCCTTTGTTCTAGTAAATGTTTATGGATATGGTGGCGAGGGTAAAAACAAACTGTTATTAGAAAGAATTTCTGAGGTTATTAAGGAGTTTAAATTAAAATATCCAACGGATTGTATTTTGATAGGAGATTTCAATTGTGCTCCTGATGAATGGTATGATAGATTCCCTACAAAATATCTCAACCATAAATTTAATCAAACAATTAGAAGATTTTACAAAAGCAACTTTCTTATTGATATTTGGAGACAGTTTAACCAGATGCTAAAACTGTTTTCATGGTTTAAGCCTAACAGCTCTTGCATGTCTAGAATTGATTTCTGGTTGGTAACTCAGGAAATGTTAAACTATACCTCACAGACTAGCATTTCTGCTGCTCCAGCAACCAACCATTCAGTTGTCAGTATCACTCTAACATCTAAAAAGGATGTTACATGCAGACAAACATATTGGAAATTTATTGCAAATTTATTAAAAGACTATCAGTACTGTAATATGGTTAAAAAGATTTTATCTGACGTTAAAACAAATAGAGAAATTACCAGCAAAGGAAATAAATGGGATTTTTTTTAATATAATAATAATTATGGTAAAGAAAAAAGTAAGAAACAAAAAGAACAGGAAAGAAAATTGGGTCAAGATATTAATAAATGTTGTAAAAACTCTTTATCAACACAAGCGGAAAAAATAAATTCATCGAATTACAATCAAAATGGGAGGAATTCTATCAAAACAGCGCGTGGTGCATTTATTCAATCAAAAGCCAAATGGATTGAAGAAGGGGGGAAAAATAGTTCATATTTTAGTAGATTAGTAAAAAACAGACAAAAGAAAAATTTAATTATTATTCTAAATATTGGAAATAGATCTGTAACAACATCAAAAGAAATATCTGATGAAATCTTCACATACTATCAGAATCTATACTCTTCAGGATTTTCAGTAACTCATTCTGACAACTTCTTTAAATCAGTCAAACCATTTATTAAACAGATAATCTGGGATTTTTAAAAGACTTGAGATACTGATTTGAAAATAGAGGAGCTGGATGCAGCAGTAAAGAAAATGGCTTTGGGTAAATCACCAGGTCAAGATGGTTTAACTACTAACTTTTATCAGTTCTTCTGGTTTGATATTAGAGAATTGCTTTATGATGAACTGAATGAATGTATTCAAAACAACACATTATTAACTACAATAAAACAAGGTTTGATTATACTAATACCTAAAGCAAACAAAGACAAAACAATCATCCAAAACCTAAGACCAATTACTTTAATAAATATAGATCAGAAGATTCTTACACATGTCCTCGCTAACAGACTTAAAAGTGGAATAAACACAATAATCAGTGAAACTCAATCTGGCTTCCAACAAGGTAGATACACAATAACATCCGTCTAGTTTTAGATCTGATGAATTACAAACAATTTATAGAAGATGAAGGAATCATTTTGTTCTTAGATTTCCTTAAAGCATTTGATAAAATAGAACACTTTCAAAAAACAGTCATTACAACAATTTGGCTTTGGAAAATTTTTTAAAAACATTGTTTCTACATTATATAAAAACGTATTATTGCTTCAGTCAGGAACTACCATGAGATTTGATGTAAAAAGAGGGATTCAACAAAAAGACCCGATTAGCCCACTGCTTTTATAATAGGAACAGAACTATTAGCATTAGACATTAAAAATAAAAGCAAGCAGACAAGTTAGCAGACGATACAGAATGTGGAGCAAATCCCTGAGGCTTTAGAAGCTGTTTCTTTCCTTTCAAAAGCTTCAGGCTTAAAATCGAACATGGAAAAATGTGAAATCTTAGCAATTCAAAACAATCAATCCACTTATTTTTTGCTTTAATCAAAGCAAAAAATAAGACAAAATATTTTATCTTTGGAAGAAAATTTCCAAAAATTGGAATATTCTTCCAATTTTTTGAAGAATATTATTAACAAAAACGGAAGGGATAGTCAGACTAATTTATCCAGCATTTACCTTAAATATAACAAATACTATGATTAAAAAATGAATTAAATTCATTACAATTTCATATGGAATAATAAACAACATCTGATCAGAAAGAACGACATAGTAAAGTCAGTAGAAAAAGGAGGAATAAATGTTATTGATTTTAAAGTAATGGATGCTGTAATAAAATTAAAATGGCTGCAGACATTTATTAAAAATAAAACAAGTTTATGGTTTAGTTTCCCTTCACAACTTTTTAAAAAAATTGGAGGAATAAAATTTCTCTTAAAATGTAACTTTGATCCTGTAAAATTACGGATTAAATTATCAGAATACCACACACAAGTTCTAAAGTATTGGAAAATGTTATAAAAGCACAATTTTACGCCACATAATATGATTATTTGGAGAAAATCTCTATACTACAGAGAATAGGAGGGAAAAGGTATCTGGGCCATTGTACATCTTATGGACACAAAGGGTGATATTCTGGATTATACAGTATTTAAAAGTAAAATATAATTTAGATTGTCCATGGAAGCAATTTCTATCTTTGATTAGGGCAATTCTGGCAACCATGATTAATTTGGTCAAAGGAATTGTTCAATATTCTGATGTAAAACCGATCTTTCTCACTCTTCTTATAGATAATTACGATTCTACGGATCTCAAATTTAATAACAAAATGATAAGAGAACATAAACAATACAATTTTTCCTCTCCCAGTTAAAAGGAACTTATTTTTAAACGTGTTTTCAGAGACGGAAGTTCTTAAGGTTAGAACCAGATTTTTCTCATTTCCTATATTACCAAAGATGAGAGAAGTTCATTTTCAAACTATAAATAATATATATCCTTGTGCAGAGCTCTTAAGTTTAAGATTTTAATCAAATGTTAATGTATATAACTTTTGTCAGAAAGATCTGGAAACACAAGAACATCTTTTTTACAATTATGTGGTTAAGTCTTTATGGGAGAAGATTTATGATTGGTTATCAACGAAAAATGTGATTCCTAATTTTGAATATAAAGGAGTTAAATTTGTTATTACTTTTCATGATAAAAATGTAACATTTTTATGTAATATTATTTTCATTATGGGAAAATTCTTTATCCACAAGTGCAGATTCTTTAAAGTTTCTCCAAATTTTCAAGCATTCCAAAATGATAATAAAAGTTTTCATGCCTCGATTAAGTTACTGGAGAACAACAAGGCCTTAAAGTTTTCAGACTTGATAGCAATGTACTTTAGTTAAACCCCTGAGTGTTTAATTTAATTTTCTTTCTCATTCTTTTTTATTGTTTCTTTTTCTGAAAGAAAACTGTTATGGATGGCATATGTTCAGTTGTACGTTTCTGCTTTTCTGAAAGAGTTTTTTGGATGTATGAAAATGAAATATATATAAAAAGGACACAAAAAAACAAAACAAACACACAAAAAAAGCATGTCAACATGTCAGCCCACATTCAGCGCAGGTTCGAATTTGGCAGCATGTGTAACGGCAAACTAGTGCCGGAGGAAACACTGGCTCTCGAAAAATAGTTCCGCTCTGTTGGACGTCATGTCGTTGAACTCCTGCCCTGTCAGGCGATTGTTAATATTTAGCTCCTGGCCGTTCGGCCACGCAGGTCGCTCCCTGAGCGCAGGCAGCATGGCGGCGCTGAGAGCCTCCAAACAGGCCCTGAGGAAGGAGCTGAAGCGGCGGCTCGCTGCAATCAGCGCGGCGGAGAAGCAGCGGCAGTCCCTGCTGCTCTCAGGCATGGTGAGGAGCTGCTCTGCACCGATGCTAGTCAGGACTGGCCCTACATGCCACTGCAGCGCCGCCATATTGGACAGGGCAGAGCTCTGAAGCTTTCAGCTGTTTCTGCTGCAGCTGCATTAAACAGGCTGGGTTAACCTGCCACATGTTAATTCATGTTTGAAAAGACTAAAAAACTAATTGTTTACTGTAAATCCAGCTTTTATTTTTCAGAAGGCTAAGTAATAATTTCTTTAAAAAATTCTACACCTTGCCTTATTTGGTTAAATCAAATGATTGTTTCATTAGAAGTGTCATTGTCAGGATATAAAGTGATGAACTCAACTGTTTGCTGTAAAGTTGTTGTTTTTCCTGCTGATTCGTGTCCATCTTCTTCCAGCTGTTCAAACACCCAAAGTATATCTCTTCTCAGCGTATCGCAGTGTTTCTCAGTATGGATGATGAGGTGCGGACTGAAGAAATCCTCAAAGACATGTTCAAAGAGGGTAAAAGTTGCTTCATACCCAGATATCAGCAGAATAACTCACATATGGACATGCTGAAGCTCAGCAGTCTGCAGGACCTGGAAACTCTGCCTCTGACATCCTGGAACATCAGGCAGCCAGCAGATGATTGCACCAGCCGAGAGGAGGCATTGTCTTCAGGTCAGAAGGTCCATTAAATCAAGGTCGCTTTCAATGTTTAACCATGAAATATTTTAATAACTGATGTGATTATATGTCAGCAAAAAATGACTTACAATACTTCTTGCTGCATCGACGGTCTTGTTTCAATCATGTAAGTCTAACCCAGCTTCTGACGGGGGAAATAATCCAGTTGCCCCTGAAGTGAATTGACTCAGCCTGATCTAAGCAGGTCAATGTTTTGGTTAATGCCCTCCAGCAGGGGTCACCCATAAAAACCAGCGAGAGTCGAATTATGAAAATCAACAGTAAAGGTCTGGAGACATTTTTTATTATAATCTGTTATTTAAACAGAATTTAGCACCGAAATAAAATGAGGTGTTTATGCATCCATGTTATACATCAATTTTTTTATATAAATAAAATAGAAAATTTTTCCATTTTAAAATCTAAAGTGTTTTTTTAAGTTTATAAAAACAATCGATCAGTTTGGTTTATAGACAATTTCCTGATTCCCATATTTTCTCAAACCCCTGAACTGAGCGTTTGTTATTTTCTTTCTTTTTTCTGTCTTAATGTTGGCAGTGGGCTTTAGGCTGCCCTGCAAGGCTTTAAACCTGGGTTTGAATGGAGACTAAGCCATTCTCAAGCACAATCAAAAACTAGGATTGTTTGTTTAAATGATTGGATGCAAACCATTAGAACTTCAACAGACCAGGAAGCAGATTTCTCAAAATATTTATTTTATACTAAGAGGCTTAAAAGTTTAATCAAATCCAGTCAGAACGCCCAAGAACGCCTCTCATAACTTGAAAAGAAACTTCTCCTCTGAGGCCTGGGTGAAGAGATGCTGCATTTGGAAGTTCATCCAAACCATGGATGATCCTATTTATCCCTGTTTCAAAAATCCACAACTAAACCAAAATATTTGGGCAGAAACCGAAAATATGCTGGACGCTGATGGGGATTGTTTTAATATGTCATTAAATTAAGCATTAATTTCTGCATGTTTTGCTCCTACAAATTTAATGATAATATGGCGCATGCTCTCCTCATGTCCCGAGGTTAAGTCAGAGTGCAGCAAGACGGGAGGAACAGCGGAGTCTGTAGGCTTTGCGCAGGCGGGGCGGAGCGAAGATGGAGAATGTGGGATTTCGAGGTTAGACAGTGTCGTCGGACAACATGCAGTAATCTATAAATGTTTTAAATCAGGTTGGGTCTGGATTAGCCAGCACATGGGTCCACATCCAGACCGTGGTCCGCTAATCCATGACCTCTGACCTATAGTATAGAGCAGGGGTCGGCAACCCACGGCTCCGGAGCCACATGCGGCTCTTTCATCCTTATACTGCGGCTCTGAGTGGCTTGGGAAAATAAATTACTAAAAAAAAACGACGTTTTTAATTTAAGTGTATTTTATTTGTGTTAGTTCTTTAATATTTTAGTCCTAAATTGGAAGATTATTGTGATCCATGAACTACATTAAAAACAAACACCGCTAACGCCTCACAGATGACAGCTTACAGTCCTGCGTAAAGATGAGAGTGACTTCGTTCAGCCCTGATTTGCAGACGCTGTGCGCAGAGGTTCAGGAGCAGAAGTCCCATTAACCAGGTTAAATACATATTTATGGGGATATTTTGCAAATATTTATTTTTCATTGTTTAGTGACACAGTTATTTTTGAAATTCAGGTCAAGGCTCCGCAATCTGCTCTGAAAGCCCAAAGGCGATATAAGGATGACGGCTCACGCCATTTTTTTTGCTTTTGTTTGCTACATGGATCATTTAAGTTCAGCTTTTTAATTTATTTGAAAGAGACATTCAGACATTGTATTATTTTTTTCAAGAATTCAAAATGTTCAAAATGTGTTCATTAGATAAAATTTAATTTTCTCTGTAGCACTTAGTGGATTTCATAAGTAACACACTTTAGTTGTTTATACAAAGTGTAAAGCTAAGAAAAAGCAATATATACAGTGTTATCTTCATTTTAGATAAGATGATAGCTCATCTTCAAAGGGTAGTCAAAGCACTAATAAGTGTACTGTACAGCTGGGGTGAACCAGCATGAAAGGGAAGATTTTGTTGTTGTTTTTTTAAATAATTTTTCTTTCTATTTAATAAATGCGTTCATAAATAAATTCATTTTAGATGTCATAAAGTATTTGCGGCTCCCAGTGTTTTCCGTTGAAACCGGATCAAATGGTTCTTTCGGTGTTAAAGGTTGCCGACCCCTGGTATAGAGATATGATGTAATATTCCAGACTCTGTCTCACTTGGATCTAGATGTGCTTATGGAGGAGAGTTAAGATTTATAATTAACCTTAATTAAGATTTCTAGCTCAGATTTGCCAATTGATTTCTAACATTTTACTAATTAGTTTATAGTTTTTGACTAAACCTAAAGGCTTTTTGACAGTGGCCCTGAGGTGCAAACCAGCAATACAAAATCAATACACTTTAACAAAGTCCTAAACAAACTGACATTTCACAAAACCCAGGTGAACGTGATGCTGCTATAGGCTTGGACTGCCGGAGGACAGTCGCCATCAACCCTCTTAGACAACTTTTATTGTCATGTTGAGTGGATATAAAGCCAAATTTCCTTTTGTGCAGCTTTCATGACATTTCCATCCATAAAGTGCAGCAGTGATCAGATGTAAACAGTGTGGGAGAAAAACCATGGTGGAAAAAAACACATTGATCTGGAAGTTCAGAGCATTAATATATATACGGAGCAAATCTGCAGTATTTTGGTCTGGTGTCATCTGTGTGATGCAGAGTCTGTGATTTAGAGTTTTCTTTCAGGACCAGCAGGTTCTGCAACAGCTTCTTCCCCACCGTCATCTGACTGTTGAATATTTTGTAAAATGGGTTATTGTATTTATTATATTTTATCATTATATATTAAAAAAATTTAGAACTGTAAATTTACAGTCAGTATACTATAATTCAAGGCTGCACTTTTAAAAAAAGATACATTTTCCAGAGAGCTGTTCTAAACAAAATTTATTTTTGTTTTTACACTTGTGTAAACAAAATGACAAAATCAGTCTAAGCCTCTTCCCAGAGGGCAGCAGGGAGAACAGTCCATGGTGGGGGGGTGAGGGGTCATTGATGATGTCAGGGGATCAGGACATGCAGCGCTGGGATGAAATGTCTTTAATGGAGGGAAGAGGAGCCCCGTGATCCTCTCTGATCCTCTCACGCTGACTGCATGACTTAAGCTTGAGATTTAGGGAATTTTTACACCTATTTTTATCACTTTTTTTTTTTACAAACAGCAACTATTCCCAAATCTGGCGACTTTTTTCCTTTGTTGTGTGAGATTTTGTTGAAAACACTCATGGCTCGGAAGGTGCGCTCAAAGATTGGCCAGTTTTGCACTCAGATCTGGCCACTGATTGCACACTGGGCAGATCTGAGTTCGGTTTTTACTTTGAAATGACAAGCAAGACCACCAGCTTGCTGGGTCCATCAGATAGTACCGAAACACTGCTGGTTCGGGGAGTCCAGGAGCAGCCAGATCACAACAACTTCAGGAAAATGGCAGTGTTTTCGCTCTTACCTGCCCTGTCAACGACTGTAAGCCTTTCTTTATCAGGTCCAATCAGCTGTGTTTGCCACAGTGAACCCATAGAAACCTTAGAAGGAATGTCAGTAGAAACAGGATGAACCTCTGCTGAGTTTGGAGCTTCATAGCCTGTGGATTCTGCAGCAGTGCAGGAGACGCGCTTTGGGGGGAGCATGTCTTTGTCTGTATGAATATACCATTCATCGCTTTGATGGACTGACGGGTATCGGTTCGAAAATTGTTGCATGTTGCCCGACTTTGGTTCAGAACTACTGTGGATGTATCGATTCTGGCAGATTTGAAGTTGGAGTGGAGCTAGCTGGTTGCTAGGTGACCAAACTGCAGGAGTGGACCATTGAAAAAGCTGTTTGACTAAAAGGGACAATAAGATGTTGAGCGTGGACATGTTCAGTTTGAAGTTCTGAAGCCTTTAGATGTTCCCGGGACTCGGCCTGTGATCCACAGACAATCAGAATCTCTTCTGTTTCCGTTGCTGTTGGCTGGTTCTCCAAACCTTTGGACAACGTTTCATTTCAGTCTAATGCATTCCGTTGGGAGCTAACGGACTTGGAAAATGTTCTGGTTTCAACCAACTCTCCAAAGGGTCTGATTTCTAAATTCTATGCACTCTTACTCAGCCCTGTACTATCAGGCTTTGACTTTGTCAAGCGGCTGTGGGGGCGTGATCTGGAGATGCAATTCAGTCCCTCTGATTGGCTTAAGATCTGCAATGGAACCTTTCCTCAATGCACTTGTATTTCTATACAAGAACAGAATTTCAAACTTTTCTATAGGTCCTACTATACCCCTGTTCGTCTTCAGAGAATGTACCCGGACCGTTCCAATCTGTGTTGCAAATGTTTGAGGCATAGAGGTACTTTTTTCCATTTATTCTGGTCATGTGATTTATTAAGGACCTGTTGGAGGGACGTTCATTTGGTGATTGAAAAGGTTCTGGGGGTTCGCTTCTTTTTGTCTCCCGTGTTTTATCTTCAATTTCTTGCAAATAAATGTATTTTGTTACAATGAACCTCTCCTACTGCTCCCACAGTAAATATGTGGCTCACACAGATATCTGTTATCCTTCCTTTGGAAACGCTGACCCACGATCTCAATCACAGATCAGACACGTTTTTGGCACTTTGGGGTCCCCTTAAGTCTTTTCTGCTCGGTCCCTTGGATTCTAGGGAAGTGTTTAACATTCTAAGGTGTTTAACAGTTAAAATATTTCTGTCCTAAATGCCTTTACAGGAGGTCTGGATCTGATGTTGATGCCTGGCCTGGGATTTGACGTCTCTGGGGGACGTCTTGGACGTGGAAAGGGCTTCTACGACACCTATCTGAGACGCTGCAGTGAACACCCTAAAGGAAGACCTTACACCATCGCCCTGGCCTTCAAAGAGCAGCTCTGTCAAAACATCCCTGTTGACTCTAATGATGTCTTCATAGATGAGGTCCTCTATGAGCACCAGTAGCTACTCTACCCTTCATGTTGATCATTCCGTCTAAGATTCAGGCTCAATCCACCCATAGGTCTTACAAATCATTTTGACCATTAATTTGATATCTCATGGATGACCTTCCCGCTGTAATCAATCTGATGTCATTTTACAGTCTGACCTACTAATTAAAGTTCATGAAAGATCAGGAAATTATTCATTCATGGCCCATTCAGATGTGGAATATGAACGCTGTCTCTCGGTCAATTTGTTTTAATAAAACATAAAGCTTTCTGTTTGTCAGAAGGCAGTGACCTTTAGAAGCTGCTGGAACAGAAGCCTTTAAAGCTCCCATATTATGCTACATTTGAAAATAAAAACATTAATCTGACCCCCAGAGCATGTTTGCGTCGTTTTTTCAGGAAAATTCCTCTCAGATTTAACAACAACCTCCTGATTCAGCCTCTGGATGAGCTGCCCATCCTCCTCCACAGCCCGTAACCATGACAACCAGTCAGCGTTTGTAAAGATAGCGGCTTGCAGGAATAATACATTAGAGGAAGGCAGACCTTAACAGATGGTGTGCTACAGCCCTCTTATGACATCATAAGCTTTTCAAACGGAGGTTATTAAGCACATTTTAGCTTAAAGGTGGAGAATGAATGCTTTACTGATGGTTTTCGTTGGAACATTTGTTCCTGCTGATTGCAGGTCTATCCAGTTTCAATTCAATTCAGTTTATTTATATAGCGCCAAATTCACAACACATGTCATCTCAAGGCACTTTACAGTTCAACCAGATCATACAGTCAAATTGATACAAAGTTTTCTATCTAAGGAAAACCAGTTGATTGCATTGACTCATTGACTCAAATACAATCCCTCACACTAAGCATGCTTGTAGCAACAGTGGAGAGGAAAAACTCCCTTTTAACAGGAAGAAACCTCCAGCAGAACCAGGCTCAGTGTGAGCGGCCATCTGCCAAGGCCGACTGGGGTTCAAGGAGACAGAAGCAGAGATACAAGCAGCTGTAAAAGGCGGCCCCGTCCAGGAAACACACAGCCAGGCAGACGAGCTACAAGGCAGCTCCCATGCCAGAGGATGAAGAGAGCACATCCACTCAGTCACGGTCAGAGAAACAGGACCACACCTGAAGACAGGCCGATCTCCAACATCTACAAACAAGGGTGTTGATGGAAGCAGCACAGCTGATGTTTCTTTCCTGGATGACGTCACAGCCAAACAGGAACAGACGAGATCTGAAGTCACCAGTGGTCTTTGGCTCTGAGACATCTCTTCTGATCATTCCCTTCACTCCTCTGTCAGGAATCATGTGAGGAGCATCTCTCGGTTTTAGGTTCTTTCCACTGCAGGATTCTGAAATCCTTATGATGAGAAAACTCTTTACTTTAAGCCATCATCAGATGTTTCTTGTTTGATACCAGAGATCATTTGGGACGGAAACAGCTGATATTTCTTTGCTCTGATTGCTTTAAACTTCTGAGAGATATGGGCTTTCCATGCCTTCCTTCACTCGTTCAATACTCCCGCCCTCCCCGTGCCATTCCACATTATTACACAGAACCTCATTTCTACACATCTATGGTTTGATTCCTTTGTATGAGTTGTTACCAACAACTGGTGAAAATGTCAGTAACCCCTCTAGAAATAGGTTTATTGAGGCAAATGGTGGTGTGGTCAATACTTATTTAATCCGCTGTAAAATAAAAAGAAAGCAAATAATAATGAATTTTTAGTCAGTAGTTACAGTGGGGGAAATAAGTATTTGACCCCTTGCTCATTTTGCAGGTTTGCCCAGTTAGAAAGAATAAAAACAATCTATAATTTTAATCATATGTACATTCTAACAGTGAGAGACAGAATCCCAAAGAAAATTCCAGAAAATCACATTATATGAATTTATAAAAACTAATAACCATCTGATGAGGAAAAACAAGTATTTGACCCCCTGGACAAACAGCATGTATTCTGGCTCCTATACAAGCCAGTTAGTCTTTCTTTCAGACACAGCCCCAATCCCAAGCAATTATCTACATCAAATACACCTGCCTCACCTGGCTACCTGTATAAAAGACACCTGTCAACACCCAAACAACCAGCATCCAACATCACCACCATGGGCAAGACCAAAGAGCTTTCTACGGACATCAAGGACAAGATTGTTGATCTGCACAAGGCTGGGATGGGCTACAAGAGAATCGGGAAGCAACTTGGAGAGAAAAGATCAACTGTCGGTGCAGTAATCAGGAAATGGAAGAAGCACCACACCACCGCCAACCTCCCTCGGTCTTGACCTCCACACAAGATCTGGCCTCGTGGGGTGTCCCTGATCATGCCAACGGTGAGGAAACATCCCAAAACCACAAGGGGGGAACTGATGAATCAACTGAAGGCAGCTGGGACCACAGTTTCAAAAGAAACGGTTGGTAATACACTACGCCGTCATGGATTGAAATCCTGCAGCGCACGCAAGGTCCCCCTGCTCAAGAAGAAACATGTACAGGCCTGCATGAAGTTCACCATTCACCACCTGGACGACTCAGAAGAGGCCTGGAAGAAGGTGATGTGGTCAGATGAGACCAAAATAGAACTTTTTGGCCTCAACTCAACTCGTCGTGTTTGGAGGGCAAAGAACACCAAGTACAACCCAAAGAACACCATCCCCACCGTCAAGGATGGTGGTGGCAACATCATTCTTTGGGGGTGCTTTTCAGCCAATGGGACGGGACACCTCCATGGTATTGAGGGGAGGATGGACGGGGCCATGTATGGTGGAATTCTGGACCAACATCTCCTTCCCTCAGAGAGAGAGCTAAAGATGGGTGGAGCACACCGCCAAAGCAACAAAAGAGTGGCTGAAGAAGAAGCACATCAAGGTTCTGGAGTGGCCTAGCCAATCTCCAGACCTGAATCCAATTGAAAATCTTTGGAGGGAGCTTAAAATTCGAGTTGCCAGGCGACAACCTGGGAACCTGAATGATTTGGAGGCTGTCTGCAGGGAGGAGTGGGCCAATATCCCTTCTGAAATGTGGACAAACCTTGTCACCAACTATATAAACCGTTTGACATCTGTGCTGGCCAATAATGGCTTTCTACAAAATATTAACATTCTGTTTGTCCAGGAGTCAAATACTTGTTTTTCCTCATCAGTTGGTTAGCAATTTTAATAAATTCATATGATGTGATTTTCTGGAATTTCCTTTGGGATTCTGTGTTCGCTGTTAGAATGTACATATGATTAAAATTGTAGATTGTTGCATTCTTTGGAAGTGGGCAAACCTGCAAAATCAGCAAGGGGTCAAATACTTATTTCCCCCACTGTACTTGTAGGCTGTTTAACAAACATCATAATAGTGAAATATTTTCACTGTTTTGGTGAATTTACTGATGAAAACTGTTCACATCATTTCCTGGGGATTTATGAGCTTTAACTGATGTTGATTAGAAAAGGTTTATCTTTTAAAAACAGCTGTTCAATGATGTTGGGAGCCTATAGAAACGTTTCTACAGGAACTTTAATGACCCTGACTTAGACTTTACACGTTTTATGAAAGATTTCAGTTTTTTTTTTTTTTTGTTTCTGTTTAGTCTCTCCAGCTCCACTTTCCTCTTTCCAGGATGAAAAGGTGGAAGTACCTTAAACAATCACACATTTCAACCCAAATGGCTGTGTATTTTATTTAAATAATTTATTGAATACATAAATTGTATAAAAATTTAACGTGCAACAAGAAAAAAAAAAAAAGTAAACCAAAATATAAAGGAGGCTTATGAGCACAGATGAAAGGCAGCGGATCTGACTGAAGGGAGCAGTCAGGTCTGTTGGACGAAAGGATGTGATAAAAAAAAAGTGTTGGAAAAAACCGCCCAGTTCAGCTTTTAAATATTACATTCAACCATTTCAGGCTCGTCATGCCAGCATTAGAAGATACATTTTAAACTTCTTATTAAAGCTGTTTCATGAATTATATCATCTAGAATAATTTATTTTCTTGATTATTTTAGGTGAGATATTAAATTTTCATTCAATAAAACAATAAATTCAGCAACTATAAAAATCTAGAGGTGATGAGAAGCTACTAGATCTCCTTTCTAATCAAACTTTGTTTAAACCTATAAATTCAACTGAATCTTTTACATAGATTCTATCACTTTATTATAGGAGGCTTAAATATTATTTAGATAGAAATACAGTACATAGAACATACTTGCTGAAGATATACAGGTGCTGGTCATAAAATTAGAATATCATGAAAAAGTAGATTGATTTCAGTAATTCCATTTAAAAAGTGAAACTTGTATATTATATTCATACATTACATACAAACTCATATATTTCAGATGTTTATTTTGTTTAATTTTGATGATTACAAATGACAACAAATGAAAATCTCAAATTCATCATATCAGAAAATTAGAATATTACTGAAGACCAATAAAAACAAAGGATTTATAGAAATGTTGGCCAACTGAAAAGTATGAACATGAAAAGTATGAGCATGTACAGCACTCAGTATTTAGTTGGGCCTCCTTTGGCCTGTATTACTGCAGCAATGCGGCGTGGCATGGAGTCGATCAGTCTGTGGCACTGCTCAGGTGTTATGATAGCCCAGGTTGCTCTAATAGTGGCTTTTAGCTCTTCTGAATTGTTGGGTCTGGTGTATTGCATCTTCTTCTTCTTCACAATACCCCATAGATTTTCTATGGGGTTAAGGTCAGGAGAGTTTGCTGGCCAATTAAGAACAGGGATACCATGGTCCTTCAACCAGGTACTGGTAGCTTTGGCACTGTGTGCAGGTGCCAAGTCCTGTTGGAAAATGAAATCTGCATCTCCAAAAAGTTGGTCAGCTGCAGGAAGCATGAAGTGCTCTAAAACTTCCTGGTATGTGGCTGCGTTGACCCTGGACCTCAGAAAACACAATGGACCAACACCAGCAGATGACATGGCACCCCAAACCATCACTGACTGTGGAAACTTTACACTGGACTTCAAGCAACGTGGATGAAGTGCCTCTCTTCTTTCCCTCCAGACTCTGGGACCTTGATTTCCAAAGGAAATGCAAAATTTACTTTCATCAGAGAACATGACTTTGGACCACTCACCAGCAGTCCAGTCCTGTTTCTCTTTAGACGCTTCTGACGCTGTCTGTGGTTCAAGAGTGGCTTGACACAAGGAATGCGACAGCAGAAACCCATGTCTTTCATACGTCTGTGTGTGGTGGTTCTTGAAGCACTCACTCCAGCTGCAGTCCACTCTTTGTGAATCTCCCCCACATTTTTGAAGGGGTTTTGTTTCACAATCCTCTCCAGGGTGCGGTTATCTCTCTTGCTTGTACACTTTTTTCGACCACATCTTTTCCTTCCCTTCGCCTCTCTATTAATGTGCTTGGACACTGAGCTCTGTGAACAGCCAGCCTCTTTAGCGATGACCTTTTGTGTCTTGCCCTCCTTGTGCAAGGTGTCGATGGTCGTCTTTTGGACAACTGTCAAGTCAGCAGTCTTCCCCATGATTGTGTAGCCTATAGAACTAGACTGAAAGACCATTTAAAGGCTTTTGCAGGTGGTTTGAGTTAATTAGCTGATTAGAGTGTGGCACCAGGGGCCATCAATTTTGAACCTTTTCACAATATTCTAATTTTCTGATATGATGAATTTGAGATTTTCATTTGTTGTCATTTGTAATCATCAAAATTAAACAAAATAAACATCTGAAATATATGAGTTTGTATGTAATGTATGAATATAATATACAAGTTTCACTTTTTAAATGGAATTACTGAAATCAATCTACTTTTTCATGATATTCTAATTTTATGACCAGCACCTGTACATTGTCTTTTGTCATGTTTCAATATAGTCACTGGAGTAAGTTAGTACTGCACCAAAAAAATGAACAGTTCAGCAGGTCTGACAGGTGCTAAATGTTCCTGCTTCGATAGAGGGAAGGTCTGAAAATGCAGGAGCCAATCTACTCAGGATTTCATGGTGCAAATGGGAACAACAACCACCAGGATGACGGTGCAGGTTGCAGCTGCAATCAGAGCTCCAATTTTACAGACCTTAGCCCTCCTAAACTCTGCCTCCTTCCTTCGTAGCAGCGCGTCATATCCTGCAGGGTGGATGTCTTCCATCCAGTACTCCAGGTCGTTGGGGTTTAGGGCGTCCATGCTCTGCTGAAAGAAGCAAAGGACATTAGCCAGGTTGGCAGCAAATAAGGCAGATTTAGAGAAAAAACCCAAAGTACAAGAAAAACAAATCATTGTATTGTCTTATTTCAAGTTAATATTATCTAATTATCTTATTTAAAGAGTAAAAACGCTCATTCCGTTGGTGGATCATCTTATTTACCTGCTCAGATTAAGGATAAATACAGTTAGTTTAAGAAACTGTAGCTTATTTCTATTTGGTTTTTGCAGTGCAGACAGTGAACTGAAGTGCATCTTCCCAAACTTGACAAATCAATTTGACTTTTTTTTAAGACAAGATTTACCTGTTTAATTTTATAGTGCTAACATTTTATGCTGTGACCTGCCATGACCTGCAATGACCTACAATGACCTGCAATTACCTGCCATGATCTGCAATGACCTACAATGGCCTGCAATGACCTACAATGACCAGCAATGACCTTCAATGACCTACAATGGCCTGCAATGACCTTCAATGACCTACAATGGCCTGCAATGACCTACAATGACCTGCAATGACCTTCAATGACCTACAATGAACTGCCATGACCTGCTATGACATGCAATGATCTACAATGACCTGCAATGACCTACAATGACCTGCCATGACCTGCAATGACCTACAATCACCTGCAATGACCTGCCATGACCTGCAATGACCTGCAATGACCTTCAATGACCTACAATGGCCTGCAATGACCTTCAATGACCTACAATGGCCTGCCATGACCTGCCATGACTTGCAATGACCTACAATGGCCTGCAATTACCTGCCATGACCTGCAATGACCTACAATGACCTGCAATGACCTTCAATAACCTACAATGGCCTGCCATGACCTGCAATGACCTGCCATTACTTGCAATGACCTACAATGGCCTGCAATGACCTGCCATGACTTGCAATGACCTGCAATGGCCTGCAATTACCTGCCATAACCTGCAATGACCTACAATGGCCTGCAATGACCTGCCATGAACTGTTATGACTTGCAATGACCTACAATGTCCTGCAATGACCTGCCATGACCTGCAATGACCTACAATGACTGGCCATGACCTGCCATGACTTGCAATGACCAACAATGGCCTGCAATGACTTGCCATGACTTGCAATGACTTGCCATGACCTGTCATGACTTGCAATGACCTACAATGGCCTGCAACGACCTGCCATGACCTGCAATGACTTGCCATGACCTAGAATGACCTGCCATGACCTGCAAGGGCCTACAATGACCTACAATGATCTACCATGACCTGCAATTACCTGCTATGACCTGCAATGACCTATTTGTTGATGAATTTATGTTCCAAAGTAATTTAAAATACTTGCGAGTTTGTTTATTTTCTCAATAAACATTATCTAGGCTAAGAGAGATAAAGGCTAAACTGGAGCTTTTGACCTAAATGGGATGCAATAGAAGTTATTTGTTTTTAAGTTAACTCTAACTAGACTGCTGGAGGACATAGGGACCCCTATTTCATCATTCTGCTTCATTCTATCTCTATTCTCCCACTCTGCAGAATCTGTTAGTTCAATCTCTAACGTTCTGCTCTCTCTGCTTGTTTTCATAGTAGCTTCATCTGGTCTGTTCCTGTTTGGCTGTGACTCCATCCTGGAGTCACAGCTGTGCTGCTGCCATCAACACCTTTGTTTCTAGATGTTGGAGCTTGGCTTGTTTTTCAGTGTAGTCCTGGGAGCTGGCTTGGAGCTCATCTGCCTGGATGTGTGTTTCCTGGACGGGGCCGCCTGTGGAGCTGGTTGACAGTTGCCTTTTGTATCTATGCTTCTTTCACTATGTCTGCTTCTGTCTCCTTGAACCCCAGTCGGCCTCAGCAGATGGCTGCTCACACTGAGCCCGTTTCTGCTGGAGGTTTCTTCCTGTTCAAAGGGAGTTTTTCCTATCCACTGTTGCTACAAGCATTGTTAGTGTGAGGGATTGCTGAAGAGTAAAAAGTCGATGCAATCAACTGATTTTCGTTAGATAGAAAACTGGTGACCCTGTCTGCCTGGGGTCAGACAGGTCCTAGGTGAGGGGCCAGACAAAGATCAGCCCAAAAACCCCTATAATGAATAATGCAAATGGACATAGTGTTCCCTCGCCTGGACGTGGGTCACTGGGGCCCCACTCTGGATACAGGCCTAGAGGTGGGGCATGCTGGCAAGCCCCTGGTGGCCGGGCTATTACCCATGGCCGGGCACAGCCCAAAGAGGAAACATGGGTCCTCCCTCCAATTGGCTCACCACCTGTAGGAGGGGCAAAAGGGGTCGGGTGCATTGTTTCATGGGTGGCATTTGAGAGCAGGGACCTTGGCATTCTGACCCTTGGCTGAAGAAGCTGGCTCTTGGGACATGGAATGTCACCTCTGGTGGGGAAGGAGCCTGAGTTGGTGCACGAGCTTGAAAGGTTCCAACTAGAGATAGTTGGACTTATCTCGACGCATTGCTCTGGCTCTGGAACCAGTCTCCTTGAGAGGGGCTGGACATTCTTCCACTCTGGAGTTGCCCCTGGTGAGAGGCGCCGAGCAGAAGTGGGCATTCCTGTTGCCCCTCATCTTGGTGCCTGTGCGTTGGGGTTCACCCCGGTGAATGAGAGGGTTGCCTCCCTCCACATACGTGTGGGGGGACGGGTTCTGACTGTTGTTTGTGCTTATGCGCCAAAGAGCAGTTCAGATTACCCACCCTTTTTGGAGTCTTTAGAGGGGCTACTGGAGAGTGCCCCTCCAGGGAGGGCAATAAACATCTTAAAGTATCAAAAACATAAATTCCCAGCGGGCTGGGAATAGAATTTACCTATAGAATCACAACACAAGTCATCAGTGTCACAGGTCAGTCACAAACTTTGTTGTTAAAGGTTTGCTGCCTTTTTCTATTGTGGAGGCTCTATGGTGGAGGTAAGCAAGCTTTAGGTTATATATTTGACCAGTTTAGCCTTTATCTCTCTTAGCCTAGATAATGTTTATTGAGCAAAATTTACACAGCCATGTTATTGTTGATGTTTTGTGTATTGTATTGTATATGTCAATTAGGGAGATGATAACAGCCCTTAACCACAGATACCAGTCCCCCAGCAAAGACATGCTGTCAAATACACTCATACCAGCATGGTATGCAGTAGAGAAGGAAAATGTCAAGAAAGAATTGCAAGACGTCAGAGATGTGGCTGTGACTGCGGATGGATGGACCAGTTTGGCACAAGACCATTACTTGACTGTTTCAGTCGACTTTGTGAGAGAGGGGGCCATGAAGGAGAAAATCCTGCATACCAGGGCAGTCTACACTTCACAGACAGGGAATGTAATAGCCGAGGAGATAGGGGATATTCTTGATGAATTCAATATAAAGGATAAAGTTGGTGCAATCACTGTAGACAATGCGGCTAATATGGATGTAACAGTGAAAAGAACATTAGAAAGATTGCCTGTTTTGCTCATACTCTAAACATTGCTGCTCAAAAGCTGTACACTATACCAGTGATCTCAAAGTGTGCAGGAAGAATCCGAGCTACAGTGGTGTGGTTAAAACGGTGCAGCTTGGCCAAACCTATCCATAAAAAGAAGCAGCGTCTTCTTGGTTAGTAGAAATCAAAGTGGACTAAACTTAGTTTCAAAATGATATGGCTAAATCAATCATTGAACTATCACAGCAAATACACAACCTGTTTGTAAACCACACACACCATCTTTCTTTAGGTCTTCCAGAACATGCTGTCATTTTAGATGTGAAGAACCGGTGGAACAGCCTGTTCCTGATGGTGGAGCGATTTCTGGAGCAGTTTCCTGCTATCCAGGCAGCCTCCATGGACCCTCGGTTAAAAAAATCAATGGAGAAGGACAGGTATTGTAGATGAGGATAGATTGTGGGATTACCTTATACTTTTTTCAAACCAACCAATGTGCTGGGCTTTGCTCTAACTAATACAACAATGTGTATATTTCCTTTCAGACTGGAGAGACTTTCTGATGAAGATTTTAGAAAAGCAGAACAGTTTGTCAGAGTTATGAAAATACTATATACTTCAACCATCTGCATCTCTGCTGAAAGGAGTCCAACTTTGGGCAAGATTCTGCCCATTTTGGGGAAGCTCCAGCATCACTTCGCAGTTACTGATGAGGACTCCTCCTTCACACAAGCTATCAAGGAAAAGATCTGGCGTGACCTCTCAAAAAGATACCAAGTATGTTGCATATTTTTGTTGTTTTCTATAGGTTAACTATACTCAGACATCATGATATATATCATACCAAAATACATTTCTGCTTTTGTCTTGCAGGATGAAAGAATCAGGCAGTTCTTGGAGGAGAGCATAGCCTTAGACCAGAGATTCAAGATGAAAGTAGGCGAAGAAGTGTAAACCAGAATACAAGAGGGAGCTCATGAGTAGAACCTCACAACAGGTGTTTTTTTTTTCTTTCTGATTGATAATTTTATTTCCACTTCAAATGTAGGTCTGTTTATATGACTCCCATTATAATCTATTGAACACTGAATGAAGTTGTAATTTTCTAGGCCCAGCAGATGAAGCTGGAGGTTGAGAGGACAGCTGGTCCCCGTGATGACAACTCCTCTGATGAAGACTATGGAGCTGCAGTAGGACCACTGGTAAAATAAAGCAATACAAAGACATCCCATTTCCCCACATTACTTAATGTTACATAACAAAATTAAATTGCTATCTATTATTTTATTTTTGTTTACAGAAAAAGCCAAAGCTCTCTGCTCTTGAGGAGCCATTTGCTGATGAAGACATGGCAGTTGAAATGAGACAAGAGAACAGTTCTAGCGACACAGACAAGATTCAAGAGGAGATCCAGCGGTACAGAGGTTCACCCTCTACCCTAACTTCTGTGAATGCAGTGACCTGGTGGTGGAATGTGAGGGACACTATGCCAATGCTATCAAACTTGGCAACCAGGTATCACTGTGTGCAAGCATCATCCACACCCTCAGAGCGTACATTTTCTACTGCTGGAGACACCATCAGCCAGGAGCGGGCTTGTTTGTCTCCTGATAAAGCAGACATGTTAATCTTTCTCAAGAAGAACTGCTAAGAATTTAACAGTGAGCATTAGACACTGACTGGTCTCCAAATGTTCTTTTTCACTGGAAATGTTTTTTTTTTATATGAGAGAAGTACTTTGAATGGAAAAATCTGAGCTAAAAATAAAACTCAAGATTTGAACTTTATAATGTTGTGTAATTTTCTTTTTCTTCGAATTAATATTATAAAACTGGTATAGAAAAAAAGTATCGTTCAAGAACCGGTATCGAAGTGAAGGTATCGGTATTGGTACCGGTATCTAAAATTTTTGAACAATATCCAGCCCTACTTGGGAGAGGGACATCTGGGCCTCCCTACTGAAGCTGCTACCCCCGTGACCCGACACCAGAAAAGCGGAAGCAGTTGGATGGATAGATGGATGGATAAATGAATCAATGATCTGGTTGAACTGTAAAGTATCCTGAGATGACATGATGTAAATGGAGCTATAGAAATAAACTGAAAAGAATAGAATTAACCTAGAGAGAACTGAGTACCTGTGGGTTGAAAATTGGTTTCCTCTTTTCTCCTGGATGACATCTATATTCCTGGATGATCCGGGCTGGATGGCTGCTCTTGCTGTGTGACGGCCGACTAGGCTTCAGGTCGGTGTAGAGGGAGCCATCTTTTGTGTGAGCCTTCGATGTGAGGGTGAAGGGGCGCGGTGAGTAAATCTGTTCCACCAAGTAGGGCTCCTTTGCTGGTTTGGACAACAGCGAAGCCTCTCCTGGGTTCCGGGAGACTTCATAATACTGCTGCTGCTCTGCCTAGAAAGGGAAAAGAAGTGGCAGGTAGACAGATACAGGTGCTGGTCATAAAATTAGAATATCATGAAAAAGTAGATTGATTTCAGTAATTCCATTTAAAAAGTGAAACTTGTATATTATATTCATACATTACATACAAACTCATATATTTCAGATGTTTATTTTGTTTAATTTTGCTGATTACAAATGACAACAAATGAAAATCTCAAATTCATCATATCAGAAAATTAGAATATTACTGAAGACCAATAAAAACAAAGGATTTATAGAAATGTTGGCCAACTGAAAAGTATGAACATGAAAAGTATGAGCATGTACAGCACTCAGTATTTAGTTGGGCCTCCTTTGGCCTGTATTACTGCAGCAATGCGGCGTGGCATGGAGTCGATCAGTCTGTGGCACTGCTCAGGTGTTATGATAGCCCAGGTTGCTCTAATAGTGGCTTTTAGCTCTTCTGAATTGTTGGGTCTGGTGTATTGCATCTTCTTCTTCACAATACCCCATAGATTTTCTATGGGGTTAAGGTCAGGAGAGTTTGCTGGCCAATTAAGAACAGGGATACCATGGTCCTTCAACCAGGTACTGGTAGCTTTGGCACTGTGTGCAGGTGCCAAGTCCTGTTGGAAAATGAAATCTGCATCTCCAAAAAGTTGGTCAGCTGCAGGAAGCATGAAGTGCTCTAAAACTTCCTGGTATGTGTCTGCGTTGACCCTGGACCTCAGAAAACACAATGGACCAACACCAGCAGATGACATGGCACCCCAAACCATCACTGACTGTGGAAACTTTACACTGGACTTCAAGCAACGTGGATGAAGTGCCTCTCTTCTTTTCCTCCAGACTCTGGGACTTTGATTTCCAAAGGAAATGCAAAATTTACTTTCATCAGAGAACATGACTTTGGACCACTCACCAGCAGTCCAGTCCTGTTTCTCTTTAGCCCAGGCAAGACGCTTCTGACGCTGTCTGTGGTTCAAGAGTGGCTTGACACAAGGAATGCGACAGCAGAAACCCATGTCTTTCATACGTCTGTGTGTGGTGGTTCTTGAAGCACTCACTCCAGCTGCAGTCCACTCTTTGTGAATCTCCCCCACATTTTTGAATGGGTTTTGTTTCACAATCCTCTTCAGGGTGCGGTTATCTCTCTTGCTTGTACACTTTTTTCGACCGCATCTTTTCCTTCCCTTCGCCTCTCTATTAATGTGCTTGGACACTGAGCTCTGTGAACAGCCAGCCTCTTTAGCGATGACCTTTTGTGTCTTGCCCTCCTTGTGCAAGGTGTCGATGGTCGTCTTTTGGACAACTGTCAAGTCAGCAGTCTTCCCCATGATTGTGTAGCCTATAGAACTAGACTGAAAGACCATTTAAAGGCTTTTGCAGGTGGTTTGAGTTAATTAGCTGATTAGAGTGTGGCACCAGGGGCCATCAATTTTAAACCTTTTCACAATATTCTAATTTTCTGATATGATGAATTTGAGATTTTCATTTGTTGTCATTTGTAATCATCTAAATTAAACAAAATAAACATCTGAAATATATGAGTTTGTATGTAATGTATGAATATAATATACAAGTTTCACTTTTTAAATGGAATTACTGAAATCAATCTACTTTTTCATGATATTCTAATTTTATGACCAGCACCTGTAATCAGGGATCAGCTCCAGGAAAGGCTTTTTAGAAAATAACCCGGGATCTTATCGTTAGCACAGAATTCATGTGCTGCACAGACTACCTCTCTAAAACCTCTTAAATGCTTTAGTTTGTTTTGTTGTGGTGTCTTTGTGTGTTTAGCCGTGTTTCTTTCCTATATAAAGCCCTCCAGGGCGCGTTACTTAGGCTAACATTTTACTACTTTTCTCTGTCACACAATTACATTTGAATCTGTTCCCCTGAGTTCCTTTGGTATCTCCGCTCAGTGTTGCCAGATTAGGTGGTTTTCATTTTGATTCTGCAGGTAAAAATAGCTTTGGCCAGGGGAATATATTCTGGGGTGGTCTGGAGTCAGATTAGCGGTTTTTCAGTTGACCAATTAAAACACATGTCCACCAATCATCATCATTACTGGTTCATAGCAAAGCCTCCCTGACCTTTCTCCATCACTGATTAGCTGATGTGATCTGCCAGAACTAGTGCTGTGGCGCCACAATTGATGCTAGTTTTAGCAGCAGGTGGATCTGGTGTGATAAACCTGATGATCGATGCGTTCTGGTTGGAAGAGGAATTTTTTAAAGATGCTTGAGTGAACAACTGCTTTAGGGATTCATTGCTTGGTGCAATTAAACTCCTCCCCCTCCCTATATCAAATGCACCATTTGAAAGAGCTTCTTCACATGTTGCTCTGCTAAAGATGAGTCCAGAAATCTCATGGGCCTGCCGACCCTGTCAGGTTAGATGAATGTGAGAACTGGACTAACAGGGGACGGATGGACATGAGCATTGTTCCATCCTCCCCAACAGTTATTGGCCAGATTTCATTCAACCATGAACGGATCAGTAATTACAATAGATTAGATCAGTGGTCTCCAACCCTGGTCCTCAAGATCTACTGTCCTACAGATTTTAGATGCATCCCTGCTTCAAGACAGCTGAATCACATGATTACCTTCCAAGCCATTCATTTGATTCAGCTGTGTTGAAGCAGGGATGCATCTAAAATCTGTAGGACAGTAGATCTTGAGGACCAGGGTTGGAGGCCACTGGATTAGATTATAGTTCACCAGAGTAAAAGTTCAGTGTTCAGATGTTCAATGTTTCAGCCAACAACCTAATAAGCATTAAAGGTAAGAATTCAAAATCAACCAGAATAAATGTCATTATTTCAGTTAATCTTAGCATATGTGTGTGTGTGTCACTGATCCTAGTTTGTCTTCTAAATGTAAACAGAGGAGTATTCTACGTGGTTATGAATCCATCTGCAAACATGTTAGTACTACTATGTGATGATGGGTCACATGACCCTCACTGGATCTGACAGCACTGTGGGTCAGAGCTGTTTATGGAGAAACAACTCTGGGCAGATTTGGTTGGATTGTAGCGTTTTGACATGAGTTGTACTGAAGTGTTTTCATGTTCAGACACTAAATATACAGGGGTTGGACAATGAAACTGAAACACCTGGTTTTAGACCCCAATAATTTATTAGTATGGTGTAGGGTCTCCTTTTGCGGCCAATACAGCGTCAATTCGTCTTGGGAATGACATATACAAGTCCTGCACAGTGGTCAGAGGGATTTTAAGCCATTCTTCTTGCAGGATAGTGGCCAGGTCACGACGTGATGCTGGTAAAGGAAAATTTTTCCTGACTCACTCCTCCAAAACACCCCAAAGTGGCTCAATAATATTTAGATCTTTCACCAGTCTTGCTGTATGTATTGGTGCATTGTCATCCTGATACATGGCACCTCCTTCAGGATACAATGTTTGAACCATTGGATGCACATGGTCCTCCATAATGGTTTGGTAGTCCTTGGCAGCGACATGCACATCTAGCACAAGTATGGGGCCAAGGGAATGCCATGATATGGCAGACCAAATCATCACTGATCCAACCCCACGGACAGTTTTGGTGGAAACAGGAGAGTTGAGGTGCACATTTAATCCTGCCGTGATTTGGGCAGTAATGTTTTTTTTGGATACAATCCAGGTTAGCACCCGAACATCCCTTTCAGACAGCTTCCTCTTTGGTCCACGGTTAATCCTGTTGAATGTGGTTCATCCTTCTTGGTGGTATGCTGACATTACCCTGGATATCGTGGCTCTTGATACATCACAAAGACTTGCTATCTTGGTCACAGATGCACCAGCAAGACATGCACCAACAATTTGTCCCCTTTTGAACTCTGGTATGTCACCCATATTGTGTGCATTGCAATATTTTGAGCAAAACTATGCTCTTACCCTGCTAATTGGACCTTCACACTCTGCTTTTATTGGTTCAATGTGCAATTAATGAAGATTGGCCACCAGGCTGGTCCAATTGAGCCATGAAACCTTCCACACTAGAATGAGAGGTGTTACAGTTTCATTGTCCAACCCCTGTAACTATATATTAACTGGGTGGCTTGTTGTGATGTTTTTTAACAGATGTTTGAGCTGGAAAAGCTGGACTCTATCTGGCAACACCGCCTCTGCTCTGTCTGGTGCTGGAGTTAGGAGGTTTTTCACAGCTTCCATCTGCTTCTGCTTGAGGTTTCCTCCTGTTAAAGTCTCAATTCCATTCAGTTTATTTCTATAGCACCAATTCATCCAGTCAGATTGGTTCAAAGGTTACTATGTTAGACATTAATCCCCAACCCAAGGCCCCAGCCCATGTGTCAGTTGTTACTGGGCCACACAGCAAGAGAAAATAACCTCTTTTATTTCCGACTGATTTATTTCCTTCATCTGAACAAAGGTGTTTTATTTTGAAAAATGCCCAGATTATCTCTCTCCATGCAATCTTTTGGTTTACCTTAAATAGAGAATGTTTTAACCAACCTGTCTCCATGATTATGACTCTATAAAGTGCTCTGAGAAGACGTGGTGTCAGTTGGCGTTATTTGCTAGTCTAATGTTACTAATCCAAATACATCAAATATGGAGCAGCATTTCTGGACTACTGATAATCAATCCCACAACAAGATGTCATCAGCCTGATTCCCATCAGCGTTCGTGCAAATAGGGGTGATACAGACCAACAAGCATTAAACTGATACAGTTAGTTTTAGTTATTAGAGCCTGATTTCCAGTAGAAGACATGATAAAATATTAATTTCACCATTACTATTTTCTAAACACTCAACCTGCCATGACCTGCAATGATCTACAATGACCTACAGCGACCTGCCATGACCTACAGCGACCTGCCATGATCTACAATGACCTGCCATGCCCTACAATAACCTGCAATGACCTACAATGACCTGTCATGACCTACCATGACCTGCAATTACCTGCCATGGCCTGCAGTGACCTTCCATGACCTACAATGACCTGCCATGCCCTACAATAACTTTCAATGACCTACAATGACCTGCAATTACCTGCCATGACCTTCAGTGACCTTCCATGACCTATATTGACCGACAATGACCTGCAATTACCTGCCATGGCCGGCAATTACCTGCCTTGACCTACATTTATCTGCAATTACCTACCATGACCTGCAATGACCTTCCACAACCTACAGTCACCTGCCATGACCTACAATGAATCTGCCATGACCTGCAATGACCTGCCATGACCTGCATCGACCTGGAATGACCTTCCACAACTTAAAATCACCTGCCATGACTTACAATGATGTGCCATGGCCTTCAATGAATCTGCCATGACCTACAATGATGTGCCATGACCTTCAATGAATCTGCCATGACCTGCAATGACCTGCCATGACCCGGGTGATTGTGAATCTATGCAGGCAACATGTCGCTCTATTTTGATTTGGCTACATTTAGTACTATCTGGGAATTTTGATGCCACAAAATAATAGAGGTCTGTCTAAAAGAGTAAGAGAATTCACGAAAGACTGAATAAGTATTAAATATAAATAAGAGCAAATGATCCTCTCCTTGGGTTGCCACCTTATCGTGGTGGAGAGGTTTGAGTGTCCCATTGATCCTGGGAGCTATGCTGTCTGGGGCTTTATGCCCCTGGTAGGGTCACCCAAGGCAGACAGGTCCTAGGTGAGGAACCAGACAAAGCGCAGCCCAAAGACCCTTATGACGAGTACGATCTTTGGATTCGGCGTTCCCTCGCCCGGACGCGGGTCACCGGGGCCCCACTCTGGAGCCAGGCCTGGACGGGGGGCATGATTGCGAGCGCCTGGTGGCCGGGCTTTTACCCATGGGGCCCGGGGGGGCTCAGCCTGAAGAGGAAACATGGGTCCCCCCTTACATGGGCCCACCACCCGTGAGAGGGGCCATAGGGGTCGGGTGCAATGTGTGTCGGGTGGCGGCTGAGGGAGGGGACCCTAGCGGTCCGATCCTCGGCTGCAGAAGCTAGCTCTAGGGACGTGGAACGTCACCTCACTGGTGGGGAAGGAACTGGGGCTAGTGTGTGAGGCTGAGAGGTTCCGGCTAGGAATAGTCGGTCTCACCTCGACGGATGGTTCTGGTTCTGGAACCAGTCTCCTTGAGAGGAGGCTGGACATACTTCCACTCTGGAGTTGCCCACGGTAAGAGGCGCCGGGCAGGAGTGGGCATACTTGTTGCCCCCCCACTTCGGTGTCTGTACGTTGGGGTTCACCCCGGTGAACGAGAGGGTAGCCTCCCTCCGCCTACGGGTTCTGACTGTTGTCTGTGCTTACGGACCAAACAACAGTTCAGAATACCCACCCTTCTTGGAGTCCTTAGAGGGAGTACAGGAGGGTGCCCCTCCTGGAGACTCCCTTGTTCTGCTGGGAGACTTCAACGCTCACGTGGGCAATGACAGTGAGACCTGGAGGGGCGTGGTTGGGAGGAATGGCTGCCCCGATTTGAACTCGAGTGGTGTTCTGTTGTTGGACTTCTGTGGTCGTCATGGATTGTCCATAACGAACACCATGTTCAAGCATAAGGGTGTCCATATGTGCTCTAGACACCGGGACACCCTAGGCCACAGCTCGATGATCGACTTTGTCATCGTTTCATCGGACTGGCGGCCGTATGTCTTGGACACTCGGGTGAAGAGGTTTGCGGAGCTTTCCACTGACCACTACCTGGTGGTGCCTGGCAGGCCCACATGTTTGGGCCTGCCAGGCAGGCCCATACCATGCGGCATGCGGCTCGGGTGGTTGCTGAGGCAAAAACTCGGTTGTGGGAGGAGTTTGGAGAGGCCATGGAGAAAGACTTCCGTACAGCTCCAAAGCGATTCTGGTCTGCCATCCGGCGTCTCAGGAGGGGGAAGCCGTGCAGCACCAACACTGTTTATAGTGGGGATGGTGAGCTGCTGACCTCAGCTCGGGATGTTGTGGGTCGATGGGCGGAATACTTCGTAGACCTCCTCAATCCCACCAACATGCCTTCCATTGAGGAAGCTAGGCCTGGGGACTCTGGACTGGGCTCTCCAATCTCTGTGGGCGAGGTCGCTGAGGTGGTTAAAAGGCTCCTCGGTGGTAGGTCCCCGGGGGTGGATGAGATCCGCCCGGAGTTCCTAAAGGTCCTGGATGTTGTAGGGTTGTGTTGGCTGACGCGACTCTGCAACATTGCATGGAAATCAGGGGCAGTTCCCCTGGATTGGCAGACTGGGGTGGTGGTCCCCCTATTCAAAAAGGGGGACCAAAAGGTGTGCTCCAATTACAGGGGAGTCACACTCTTAAGCCTCCCGGGAAGGTCTATTCGGGGGTGCTGGAGAGGAGGGTTCGTCGGATAGTCGAACCTCGGATTCAGGAAGAGCAGTTTGGTTTTTGTCCGGGTTGTGGAATGCTGGACCAGCTCTACATCCTCAGCAGGGTCCTGGAGGGTGCATGGGAGTTCGCCCAACCAGTCTACAAGTGCTTTGTGGACTTGGAGAAGACATTCAACCGTGTTCCTTTGGGGGGCCCTGTGTGGGGTTCTCCTGGAGTACTGGGTGCCGGGCCCTTTAATACGGGCTGTCAGGTCCCTGTATGACCGGTGTCAGAGTCTGGTCCGCATTGCTGGCAGTAAGTCGGGCTCGTTTCCGGTGAGAGTTGGACTCCGCCAGGGCTGCCCTTTCTCACCGATTCTGTTCATTACCTTCATGGACAGAATTTCTAGGCGCAGCCAAGGTGTTGAGGGGATCCGTTTTGATGGCCTTAGGATTGCGTCTCTGCTTTTTGCAGATGATGTGGTTCTGTTGGCTTCATCAGGTCGTGATCTGCAGCTCTCGCTGGATCAGTTCGCAGCCGAGTGTGAAGCGGCCGGGATGGGGATCAGTGCCTCCAAATCCGAGGCCATGGTCTTGAGCCGGAAAAGGGTAGAGTGCCTTCTCCGGGTCAGGGGGGGTGTCCTGCCCCAAGTAGAGGAGTTTAAGTATCTCGGGATCTTGTTCACGAAAAAGGACAAAGGGAGAGAGAGGTCGACAGGCGGATTGGCGCAGCGTCTGCCGTGAAGCGGGCGCTGTACCGCTCCATCGTGGTGAAGAGAGAGCTGAGTCAAAAAGCGAAGCTCTCGATTTACCGGTCGATCTACGTTCCTACCGTCATGACTGAAAGGACGAGATTGCGGATACAAACGGCCGAAATGGGTTTCCTCCATAGGGTGGCTGCACTCTCCCTTAGAGATGGGGTGAGAAGCTCGGTCATCCGGGAGGGACTCTGAGTAGAGCCGCTGCTCCTCCACGTCGAGAGGAGCCAGTTGAGGTGGCTCGGGCATCTGGTTAGGATGCCTCCTGGACACTTCCCTGATGAGGTGTTCCGGGCACGTCCCACCGGGGGAAGGCCCCAGGGAAGACCCAGGACACGCTGGAGAGACTATGTTTCTCAGCTGGCCTGGGAATGCCTTGGGGCTCCTCCTGAGGGGCTAGAAGAAGTGACTGCGGAGAGGGAAGTCTGGGCCTCCCTTCTTAAGCTGCTGCCCCCGCGACCCGACCCCGGATAAGCGGAGGAAGATGGATGGATGGATGGATGGAAGAGCAAATGATTAAACACAGCAGTCTGTTCGTTAAGTTTGGACTGGCATGAACCTATATCATATAACAACTGCAGCAGTTTCATGATTGGAGTTCTATGGCAAACATTTATCTACATTTGTGATTTTAGTAAAACTGTCCTTTAAATTTTATCTCATGCTATTTCTTATAAGAAGGTGATAGTTACTGTTTTATTCGGGTCAAATACTAAAATTGAGGGTGCACTGCAAAAATCTAAAGTGTCATTTTTTATTAAAATAAGTGCATTTCTTCTTGAATTGAGGAGGTAAGTGTGACACTTTGCCAATGGAACAAGACAATTTACATTTAAAATGAGAAAAAACAATTGCATTGTCTTATTTCTAGAGCATATTATCTAATTATCCTATTTTAAGAATAAATTAGATTCCATTAGCAGATCATGTTCTTTACCTTCTCAGATTAAGGGGAAATAAACTTAATTTAAGACATTTTGACATCTTTCTAGAGGTTTTTTGCAGTTTAAAGTTTTGTTTACCTCTTTAGCTTTCCAATGTCTGTCCTGGCTATCATCATTGTCCATGTTCCTGTCTCCATGGCGACACGAGATGGACACAGCTCTCAAGGTGCGAGGAGAATTGCTCATGCTGGCTACCTTTGATTCAGTAGCACTGCTCTCCTCAACATGTGATCTTGAAAGCCTCTGAGCATAAAGGCTCCTTTTCAGAGCTCTTATTCTGAGACTGTCGCTGTTTCCCTTATCTGACTGACCTTCTCCAGGTTCCCCACTTCCTGCTCTCATGCTGTGACCAATGGTGTGGCATGAGTAAAGATGGGCTGAGAGGAGACCGTCAGAATGCGGATGATGCTGAGGTGCTGATTTGTCGCAGGTAGAACCAGACACAGCACCTGTGTTCTTCCCTGGTTTCTTGTTGGTCTCCGGCTCCTGGTTGTTCTGATCCAGTTTGTTGAGTTTAGAGAGAACCTGGGACATCTCCATACGGACCCCAGAAAGAGTCTCAAGTTTTTTCTCTATCTCTGCAATTCTCATCACCAGTTTGCTGACACTCAGTTTCAACTCGTCATCTGTGTTTTCCTGCAGATGGAGCAAACGGTCCAGCTTGGACCTGTCCAGCCCGCCGCCGTGCTCAGGGGAGCTGTCGCCCTCCGATTTCAGCGTTAACTGAGACAGGGAGCCATTACTGTTCTGACTTGATGGCTGGACCACCCCCAGAGAGTCACAGGTGCTCATGTCGTCGAGAAAACGGAAGATGTCACTGATGTCATCACTGATAATCTTTTCCTCTGAGTGTTTCGGCTCCTGTCTGTCCCTGCAGGAGAACTTGGATGGGTAGTTTGTGGTGGTTTTTGGATCAGCCTGCTCCGTTTGAGTTCCAACACTAGAGGAGACGTCTGTCCCCTGAAAGGATCCCCCGCTCCAGTTTTTCTCTCTCAGCTTTTTGCCTGCAGAGCATCTTGCCACCAAGGAAACATCGCTGGTTTTTATGCCGTTATATTTTTTGGTAAAGTTGGGAGAATCTATAACCTTTTCCTTTGAGTTAGAAAAGAATTGTTCATTTTTATTAGGGCTTCTGCTGATGCTGTAAAGAATATTTCCTTTCTGTTGTTTACTCCTTTTATTAGAAACATCAGAATCATCTTGCATATTGAGACTAAGGCTCTTCAGTGGCCACACAGGTTGTTTCACAGCTTCAGTTACGTTCTTGCTCCTGGTGACATGCTTTAATGCTGGCATTGGTCCAAAGTAGGTGGATGTTTGTAAATCCTCCAGGCTTTCATGCTTGACCCTCAATTTGTCCTTCATAGGATAGTTGAATGCAGGATCCATATACGGGTTACTGTAGGACAATTCAAAACTGTGGTTAAAATATGGAGCCGGTTTGCGCAAATAGACCCTTTGGCAGCTGTCTCCAGTTTTGCTTTTTTGATGACATTCACTGGTGGGAACCTGCAAAAACACACAGAAAGGTCGAGTTAGATTTACGAGACACTGCTGAACAAATACATCAAAAACTCTACAGTAGATGACAATCACAAACCCAAACAGAATAAAAGATTCCCCTCCCTGATCTGACCAGCCTTTTAACTTTCATTTAACCCAGTTCTCTTCATCCCAAAGGATAGTTTCACTTTAGCAGATCATTATCAGATAGTGTAGTTTGAGGCGGGAACATTATACTTTAAGCTTTACTATATGGCCCATTTACTGATTTAATGCATGATTCAAAAAACTTCTCCTCCTACTGGAGGGGTATGTAAAGATGTCTACAGCCATCCCTCACACTAAGCATGCTTGTAGCGACAGTGGAGAGGAAAAACTCCCTTTGAACAGGAAGAAACCTCCAGCAGAACCAGGCTCATTGTGAGCGGCCATCTGCTGAGGCCGACTGGGGTTCAAGGAGACAGAAGCAGACATAGAAAAAGAAGCATAGATACAAAAGGCAACTGTCAACCAGCTCCACAGGCGGCCCCGTCCAGGAAACACACAGCCAGGCAGACGAGCTCCGAGCCAGCTCGCATGTCAGAGGATGAAGAGAGCACATCCAGTTAGTCACAGTCAGAGAAACAGGACTACACTGGAAAACAGGCCAAGCTCCAACATCTAGAAACAAAGGTGTTGATGGCAGCAGCACAGCTGATATTTCTCTCCAGGATGGAGTCACAGCCAAACAGGAACAGACCAGATGAAGCTACTATGAGAAAAAGCAGAGAGAGCAGAATGTTAGAGATTGAACTAACAGATTCTGCAGAGTGGGAGAATCATCATCATCTTTTTTTGAAGAGCGCTTTAGAACAGCTACGGCTGAAAATAAAGTCCTGAACAATAAGACATAATAAAGAATCAAATACAGATTAAAAATATAAAATAAGGCAATAATTTCTTGAAGCTAAATAAACATCACAATAACTAGTGTTGAAAGCCTTAGATGCCTTCTTATCACTGCACTCCAGGAAAACATTTTTAGTTTGTACATTTATACATACACTATATTGCCAAAAGTATTTGCTCACCCATCCAAATTATTGGAATCAGGTGTTCCAATCACTTCCATGGCCACAGGTGTATAAATTCAAGCACCTAGGCATGCAGACTGTTTTTACAAACATTTGTGAAAGAATGGGTCGCTCTCAGGAGCTCAGTGAATTCCAGCGTGGAACTGTGATAGGATGCCACCTGTGCAACAAATCCAGTCGTGAAATTTCCTCGCTCCTAAATATTCCACAGTCAACTGTCAGCTGTATTATAAGAAAATGGAAGTGTTTGGGAACGACAGCAACTCAGCCACGAAGTGGTAGGCCACGTAAACTGACGGAGCGGGGTCAGCGGATGCTGACGCGCATAGTGCGAAGAGGTCGCCAACTTTCTGCAGAGTCAATCACTACAGACCTCCAAACTTCATGTGGCCTTCAGATTAGCTCAAGAACAGTGCGCAGAGAGCTTCATGGAATGGGTTTCCATGGTCGAGCAGCTGCATCCAAGCCATACATCACCAAGTGCAATGCAAAGCGTCGGATGCGGTGGTGTGAAGCACGCCGCCACTGGACTCTAGAGCAGTGGAGACGCGTTCTCTGGAGTGACGAATCGCGCTTCTCCATCTGGCAATCTGATGGACGGGTCTGGGTTTGGCGGTTGCCAGGAGAACGGTACTTGTCTGACTGCATTGTGCCAAGTGTAAAGTTTGTTGGAGGGGGGATTATGGTGTGGGGTTGTTTTTCAGGAGCTGGGCTTGGCCCCTTAGTTCCAGTGAAAGGAACTCTGAATGCTTCAGCATACCAAGACATTTTGGACAATTCCATGCTCCCAACTTTGTGGGAACAGTTTGGAGCTGGCCCCTTCCTCTTCCAACATGACTGTGCACCAGTGCACAAAGCAAGGTCCATAAAGACATGGATGACAGAGTCTGGTGTGGATGAACTTGACTGGCCTGCACAGAGTCCTGACCTCAACCCGATAGAACACCTTTGGGATGAATTAGAGCGGAGACTGAGAGCCAGGCCTTCTCGTCCAACATCAGTGTGCGACCTCACAAATGCGCTTCTGGAAGAATGGTCAAAAATTCCCATAAACACACTCCTAAACCTTGTGGACAGCCTTCCCAGAAGAGTTGAAGCTGTTCTAGCTGCAAAGGGTGGACCGACGTCATATTGAACCCTATGGATTAGGAACGGGATGTCACTTAGGCTCATATGTGAGTCAAGGCAGGTGAGCAAATACTTTTGGCAATATAGTGTATATTTAATAAAGGATGCTTCTTTGCTGATCTCAGCTTTGCAGTGGCAGCTCCTTAAGTTCAATAACAACATTGTTTTTTGTTTTAAATTGGAAAGTTTAAAATGTTTAAAATAAAAAAGACAGCCTCTGGCCCGTAGACAGCTGGAGATAGGCACCAGCACCCCTTGCGACCCCCACTCCTGATAAAGTGTGTCAGATAATGGATGGATAAAAAAGACAATGATTATCTTTTTTTAAGATATTTTATTTTAATCCCGTCACCAGTTAGTTAGCACAGACAGAAAGCTGCACCTTTCAACCTCAGCAGTCGGTTTCAGATTTCAAAATATTCCATCTAGTTGCTGTTTTTTTTTTCAGTAGGGGGTCCTGCGTTGTTTGTTAGGTCATGTGACAGTTATGGTGACGCAATGAGCCAAGGGTTGAAAAATACTGAATAAAACTAAAAACATTCTATAACAGCAATATTTTGGCCATCAGCTGTTATTTCCCTAGTGGTCCCTAAATAAAACAAAAATTTTGTTTCTGCTCATCTGTATGTTTTAATGGCTCCTCAACTGATGACAGTTTCACCTTTTATCAGCCTTTTATCTTCAAGGATAAAGGTGCAGATTTTATATAATATTATAAATAATTCCAAGTAAAATAATTTAATATCTCTGAATTTATGTTACATCAAACACAGCAGCTGTGGTTCTAACAGTGAAACTAAAACATTACTGGATTTATTTAGTTTTCCAGTCCCTAACATGGAGATTCATAGATGTGTGATTTATTTTAAACATGATTTAACATTTTTTGCTGATAAGGTAATCAAATGTTTTCTGTGATTTAAATCATCCAGCCTCTTTAAAAGAGCTGTGAAAACACAAACCTGTGAGGAGAAGGACAGATTTTGGTGCCAGTCCTCCTTCATCTGGTGAGGAGTGAAACTGTGCGGGTGGCCAAGGAGCTGCCGGAGATCAGGTTCATCTGGAGGCTCTGTAGGGAGGAAGCTATTCTGCCTTTCAGGGCGGATGGACGCCTGGCTGCTGCCTAGAAGCTGAGGTAGATGACGCTCCAATGAAGCTTCTTTACATTCTAGGTCTTTAGTGAAGCGTAGGAGGAAGTTTGGGTCTGATGAGCGATGAAGGTCTAAGGTGCTGCTCGCAGGTAATTTGGAGCAGGAGTCTCCGCTCTGGACCTGCGGCTGCTGCTTTGAGTGGTGGTGGTGGTGCTGATGCTGGCGTGCATCCCTCTGCTTGGCGTCACAGTTGGTCCTCCTGCCATCTTTAAAGCTGCTTTCTGTGTTGGACCTGAACGGCTCTGCAGACTGCAGTCTGGGGGCCTTATCTTTGGGACCTTTCGGGTTCTTGGCTGGAGCCAATTCTTCATTCAACTGGATCAAGTTGAAGATGGTAACGATGTCAGCTGCTGCAATGAGCTTGTTAGAGTGCTGCTCCTCCTCCTCCACGCAGCTGAGCATCCTGCCTTTAAAGAGGGAGGCTGGGAAGGTGGGATCAAGGCAAGCTGTGGAGAACAGCAGCCTCCTGATTTTAGCCAGAGAGGCCAGGTCAAAGCGCGCGCACAGAGACTGGCACACGTCCTGGTCGGTCATCATGCTCTGCTTGATGTCCAGCTCCTCCAGGAGCTGCTCCAGGGACACCTCCATGTTCCTGCAGCAGGAGACGCTCCCACCTCAGCAAACACTGCGTCCGGTCACCTCTAATCCCACCTCACACCATGAGGCATAAAAAACAACACAAAAACCTGCAGTGGGGCTGTTACCATGGTTACAGGAGGAAAACGCAGCCAGCCGAGATGAAAGGCTGGAGGCTGCCTTTATCTCCAGTGATGGAGCAGGCAGGCAGGCAGACAGGCATTCAGGAGGGGATTCAGCCTCCCGCTCATGCAGGCAGGCAGGCAGGCAGAGACAGCCGCTCATGGAGAGACGCACCGGAGCTGTTTGAAGCACCGCCCACGCCAGCGATGACATCACTGAGCTGAAAACAAGTTTTTAATTAAAGGGAAAATTTGAGGTGCTTCATTTTTAAAATAATTCTGCTGTTCTTCACTAAAAATAAAAAATTAAGAATAATTATCGAAATTGCCTTTGCTTCTTCAAAACTATTCATTTTATAAATTGATTATAATTATAGGTAAATAAAAAAATATAATTTCCTTTGTTAAAATATCTCCCTAAAAGAGACCAAATTTTATTTTGCAAAGTCAAAAAAGTCATAGTTTGTAAAGTTCAGCAGCCAAAATTTAGGAGAAATATTTATGGTGATTTAAAGTCACTATGTCATTCATTCATTTATGGAAAAAAGTTCCACACTAAATAATTTGATTATTATTTAAAAATATGTCAGTGAGATACATATTTCGCTTACAAACGAATTATTATTTAACCAAATATTTATTTTTAAAACTAAATAGGATATTTAGTTTAATACTTAAATATTTAGTGTGTTTTATAAATAATTAGTGTGTTTCAAAAATATTTAGTATGTTTCATAAATATTAAGTTTATTTTATAAATATTTATTGTGTTTCAAAAATATTTAGTGTGTTTCATAAATATTTAGTGTGTTTCAAAAATAATTAGTGTGTTTTAGAAATAATTAGTGTGTTTCATAAATATTTAGTGTGTTTCATAAATATTTTGTTTGTTTTATAAATATTTAGTGTGTTCATAAATATTTAGTGTGTTTCATAAATAATTAGTTTGTTTCATAAATATTTTTTTTTCATAAATATTTAGTGCGTTTCAAAAATATTTAGTTTGTTTTATAAATATTTAGTGTGTTTCATAAATATTTAGTTTGTTTTATAAATATTTAGTGTGTTCATAAATATTTAGTGTGTTTCATAAATATTTAGTGTGTTTCATAAATATTTTTTTTCATAAATATTTAGTGCGTTTCAAAAATATTTAGTTTGTTTTATAAATATTTAGTGTGTTCATAAATATTTAGTGTTTCATAAATATTTTTTTTCATAAATATTTAGTGCGTTTCATAAATATTTTTTTTCATAAATATTTAGTGTTTTATAAAAATTTTGTTTCATAAATATTTAGTACGTTTCATAAATAATTTTTTTCATAAATATTTAGTGTGTTTTATAAAAATTTAGTTTCATAAATATTTAGTGTGTTTCATAAATATTTAGTGTGTTTCATAAATATTTAGTTTTTTTCATAAATATTTAGTGTGTTTCAAAAATATTTTATTTGTTTCATAAATATTTAGTGTGTTTTATACAAATTTTGTTTGTTTCATAAATATTTAGTTTGTTTCATAAATATTTAGTGTGTTTCAAAAATAATTAGTGTGTTTCATAAATATTTAGTTTGTTTCATAAATATTTAGTGTGTTTCAAAAATAATTAGTGTGTTTTATAAATAATTAGTTTGTTTCATAAATATTTAGTGTGTTTCATAAATATTTAGTGCGTTTCAAAAATAATTAGTTTGTTTCAAAAATATTTAGTTTGTTTTATAAATATTTAGTGTGTTTCATAAATATTTAGTGTGTTTCATAAATATATAGTGTGTTTCATAAATATTTTTTTTTCATAAATATTTAGTGCGTTTCAAAAATATTTAATTTGTTTCATAAATATTTAGTGTGTTTTATAAAAAAAAATGTTTTTCATAAATATTTAGTTTGTTTTAAAAAAATTAGTTTGTTTCATAAATATTTAGTGTGTTTCATAAATATTTAGTTTTTTTCATAAATATTTAGTGTGTTTCAAAAATATTTTATTTGTTTCATAAATATTTAGTGTGTTTTATACAAATTTTGTTTGTTTCATAAATATTTAGTTTGTTTCATAAATATTTAGTGTGTTTCAAAAATAATTAGTGTGTTTCATAAATATTTAGTTTGTTTCATAAATATTTAGTGTGTTTCAAAAATAATTAGTGTGTTTTATAAATAATTAGTTTGTTTCATAAATATTTAGTGTGTTTCATAAATATTTAGTGCGTTTCAAAAATAATTAGTTTGTTTCAAAAATATTTAGTTTGTTTTATAAATATTTAGTGTGTTTCATAAATATTTAGTGTGTTTCATAAATATATAGTGTTTCATAAATATTTTTTTTTCATAAATATTTAGTGCGTTTCAAAAATATTTAATTTGTTTCATAAATATTTAGTGTGTTTTATAAAAAAAATGTTTTTCATAAATATTTAGTTTGTTTTAAAAAATTTAGTTTGTTTCATAAATATTTAGTGTGTTTCATAAATATTTAGTGTGTTTCATAAATATTTAGTTTGTTTCATAAATATTTAGTGCGTTTCAAAAATATTAAATTTGTTTCATAAATATTTAGTGTGTTTTATAAAAATGTAGTTTGTTTCATAAATATTTAGTGTGTTTCATAAATATTTCAATCTGAAAAACTCACACAGAGAAAAAGGATAATTAGAAGAGTTTATTGATAAGAAGGTATAGTCTTTGGCGCTCAGACCTCGGCAGGAACATTCATGCTGATTTATGCTTGACATGCATGAGTTGATGAATGAGAATAGGGATGTTCCCCCTGGCCTGAAACTGGTGGTGGTTCAATTGAGCTGGTTGACGAGGTGATCTGCTGAGCAGAATGAGGGACTAGAAGACTGAGGGAGCTGACGCCGGGGCTTCTCTCAGACTCGGGATATGAGGTCCTGCTTGGTGATGCAGGAACTGAGAACTGTCCATGATGAGCAAGCGTGAAGTGACAGTGGAGAGGAAAAACTCCCCTTTGGGAAGAAACCTCTGGCGGAACCGGGCTCAACATGGTGGTCTTCTGCCGGACCAATGCAGTGAGGCGAGGGATGGTGACAACTGGGATTAATACCCTCTGATGAGGTTGAGGTGAAGTCGTGTCATGGGGACGATCCAGCTGCGATGGCGGAGAAGGGGATGGAGGTGGGTGAATTGTCATCTGAATCGAAATCTGACATAGTGCTTGCAGATAGCGGGACTGGGATGAGGATTTGGAGAGTTTATAAAGTGAAAGCAGGACGCTGATTGGGCTTCATGGTGGAGTAGTTCGAAGCTGATTGGCTCGCTTCGGAGACGGATCAGCTTCTGATTGGATGGAGGTAAGCCAGAGTTTCTTCAATTGAACTTCCGCTAGAGCTTCATTTCAATCTGAAAAACTCACACAGAGAAAAAGGATAATTAGAAGAGTTTATTGATAAGAAGGTATAGTCTTTGGCGCTCAGACCTCGGCAGGAACATTCATGCTGATTTATGCTTGACATGCATGAGTTGATGAATGAGAATAGGGATGTTCCCCCAAAAGCTGAGGTCGAGGCCAGAGAGCTCGTGGAGCAGTTACTAGTAACAAATGGTGAATGCGTAATGAAATGCTGAGAAGGTTTGCAAACAGCTTACCGAGCCAGGTTGAAGTTGATGCCGAAAACTTACGACGACGATGATGATGATGATGATGATGATGATGAATCTTGCGGATGAGTCTGATAATGAATCTTGCGGATGAGTCTGATAATGATCTTGCGGATGAGTCCATATAGAACATATAACATGACGGGATACAGACACATGACGAGACGCAGACATGGTGCATATTGATGCATTGGAAATGCATACAAAATGGCGTAAGGATGCATGACGAGACACGACGAGACACAGATAGGGAGCATATGATGCATTGGGGAATGAATCTTGCGGATGAGTCTGATAATGAATCTTGCGGATGAGTCTGATAATGAATCTTGTGGATGAGTCTGATAATGATCTTGCGGATGAGTCCATACGGAACATATAACGTGACGAAATACAGACACATGACGAGACGCAGACATGGTGCATATGGTGCATTAGGGAATGCATGCAAAATGGCGTAAGGATGCATGACGAGACGCAGACCAGACATGACGAGACACACAAGAGAAGGCATATTGCTGCCTGACATAAAGGCGAGATTGCACGTATACGAGCCAGAATGAAGACAGCATGAGTATAGCAAGGAGACAGCATGAAGACTGCAGAAAGCAAGGAATAATGTAGATAACTGATAGAGTAGGAGTAGAAGAAGATGAGTTAGAGGATGGTCATGGTTAGGTAAGGTAATGATGAGAAAGAGTTCGAACCACCACCAGTATTTGTGTTAGAGTTACCTAGAGGCAGAGAGAGCGCTGCGAGAATTGATGGGAGTTCTGGGCGGATGTATGAGGTATAGACCAATGATGACCATCGGCCTAGTTGCTGGAGGGAAGCCTCAGAAACCCCACGAGTAGCTGCTGTTGTAGCAGCTCCAATCCGGAACGAATGCCCGGAATAACCACTAGAGGGAAGGCCACATGATTCTAAAAGTGACCTAAGGTGATGAAGGAACCAACGAGTGGACATAGAGTGACCCTCGGGCGTGATGAAGAGCGCTTTAGAATGAGAGGGCAGAGAGTGTCGTCTTTGAACGAAATCGAACATGGCGAGAAAGGGACAGAGGGGGCCATCTGTTCGTGCGATGAAAATGGAACAAGCGCCTTTACCTTTAGAATGTTTTAAGGATAATTTGAAATGGTCGATGTAAAAACGAATATCTGAGATAGACAAATCTCGGAAATGATTAAAGTGTCTATTCGAAGAAGTGAATTCCCCCGGTCTCAGAAAGCCATAGAAGGCCAATAAGAAGGAACTAGATAACAGAGACTTGACATAAGACGAGTTGGAGCTAGTTGAAAGCGCGGACACTAGTCTCCTAAGGATCGGAAAAGTAATAGGCTTACGAGTGTCAGAAGTACCAGAAGAATGTTTAGCTAGACCTTTAAGGAGAAGCTTGATGGAGTAGTCAGCGAAAAGGCTAGAAGAATTAGGGTTATAGCATTTGGAATAGAAATTGATGCCGGCTAACAAGCTGCGAATGTAAGATAATTTGAAGCGGCGTTTGTCAAAGCAGAAAGAAATGAAATTCAAGACAGAAGTAATGAGTAAAGGATACAGGGGAATATGGAGGCTTGAACAGAATTTTGCAAATAATTGCCATTCGAAGTTGTAGGTTCTGAGAGTGGAAGGAGCTAAACCAGATTTCATGTAGAAGCTGGAGGAAAGTAGATATGAATGAAGAGAGTGAGTTAATTGAGGGTGAATTCCTCTAGAGGAGGAACAGGAGTCGGATGGAGATCGGAGGTAGGTCGAAGATGACGAAAAGTCTGAAATTTGAAACGAGAGAGAGCGTCAGCAGCAGTGTCAGAATGGCCTGGAACGTGACGCGCTGAGATAATGAAATTGTTAGTGACTGCTTGCCAGGTGATGCTTCTGATGAAGGGCATGAGAGACTGGGAGGAGGAGCAATCTTTATTTAAGGCTTCGACTACCGCGATGTTGTCGCAATAGGCAGATATGCGTTTTCTTTCCCAGAGCGGGCCCCACAGACGGCAAGCTATGGCTATGGGGTAGACCTCACACAGAGCGGATGATTGGGTGTTGAATGAGGAGGGCCATGGGCCCGCGAACCACCTGTCCTGAAAGAACCCCCCAAAACCTACGGATGGGGCAGCATCTGTGAAAAACTGTAGCATGTCGGGAGATTGAATGATATCATCGTAGAAAAATGATTTTCCGTTCCAATTTAGAAGGAGACTGGACCAGAAGGAAAGATCCGAACGGCAACCTTCGTTCAGTGTAACCTGATCAAGGAGGGAGGGAACGGATTTAGCCAGATCGAGCAAACGGGAAATGAAAGAGCGACCTTGAGGAATAATGCGCATGGCGAAATTTAGATGACCTAACAGGGAGAGCAGTTGGCGTTTGGACACGACTGATGCGGAACAAAAGGATTGAGAGATCTCACGAATTCGAGATAGTTTATCTGCGGGCAGGGATGCCATCATGGCTACTGAATCGAGCTCGATACCGAGAAACTCGATTTTTGTAGCGGGGCCAATAGTTTTCTCTTCAGACGGGGGAACGCCGAGGCGGGAAAAATGCTCCTTTAGCTTGGGAAGAGAAAGACTGGGAAGTTTAGAGGGAGGATCAATAAGAAGGAAGTCATCCAGGAGATGAAGAACGCATGGAAGATGGGTGACATTGAGAAGAATCCAGCATAGAGCTTCTGAGATTTTGTCGAAGAGACATGGACTACTCCTGCACCCGAACGTCAAACGAACAGCGAAATAGAAAAGAGATTTCCATTTAGCGCCGAACAGGTGCCACTGGGAGGGATGAATAGGGACGATTTTAAACGCATCGGTGATGTCGGCTTTAGCTAGCCAGGCTCCTTTGCCGGTGCGTTTGATCAGGAGAATAGCGTGATCCACGGAAGCGTAATGAAGGGAAAAGGGGGCAGGCGGGATGAGGCTATTGATCGAGGAGTGAAGACCGGAGTGGGGGGCGGATAGATCCAGAATGAGCCTCTTTTTTCCAGAATATTTTCTGGTGGCTACTCCGAGAGGGCTAACTCGGAAGGGGACGAAGGGAGAGGTTTTGAAGGGACCGATCATGAACCCTTTAGAAGTTTCTTTGTTAAGGAGCAGATCTACGGTATCTGGTTCTTTAAGAGCAGATTGAAGATTGGGGGATATGTGGGTAAGAGAGGGGGGGTTAGAAACTCCTACATGAAATCCTTGAGAGAGACCAGAAAGAATAAAGTTAACAAAAGTACGGTCGGGATGATGAAGGAGACAGGACGATAGCTCAGAAATGATAATAGGGGTGGAAAGGTGACGGGCTGCTAAGGTTTGAAGGTGCGATTTTTTATGAAGCGAGCGCGGCGGGGACAGACTGATTTCGGATGAGCCTCCTTGCAGAAACTGCAAATGTGGAGAAATATGCACTTAGGAAAAGAACAGAAACTTTCATTGAAATTGTTACAGATGGGTTTGGAGTCAAATACCTGAATTCTTCTACCTCTGGCGTCTGTACGCAAACTGGAAGTAGAGGGAAGCAAAGAAGGGAGGGAAGGAGTGCTGGGCTTAAACGGAATAGATGGACAGAGGGCGCTGGGGTGACCGATTGAATTGCAGGAAGAACAAGGATTGGACTGAGTTAGCATAATAAGATTGTTTGTGTCCAAGACCGACCAATCTAAACGAACGCCGTGATGAACCAGTGTAGAAGCTGCTTTGGAAGAGAAAGATTTGTGGTAAAGGTAGAAAAGGTTGCCGCCAAATTTAAGGTGGAGGTCTGCTATTAGGGATAGATAAGTATCAAGCTCCACTCTGCGGTCGGGGTAAACTGAGCATAGAACGCCACGGTAGATACTAAATGCGGTGAGAAATTGGCCAATAGAAAGATCTCTAGACAAACGGGGATCGGATGATTTAAAGAAAGCTGTGACGTCACCTGCTGATGCGACCTGGTGATCGACTTAGGGGGAGGGGAGAATGAGGGAGACTAAATTAACATACTTCCCTTGAATGATTTTAGAACGGAGGCTAGAAGAAAAATATTAGCGTGCAAGGGAGCATACGGTATGCCTAAGGCTGGCCCAGGGCGGGCGTTTGCTAATGTGAATGAGGGGATGGGAGGGGGGATGTCCGTCTGAGCAGGCAGCTGCAGGGATGATGTGGCAGTACGGGGATTTTCCGAGTTCTGGAGACGTGCAGACAGCGTCGTGACTGATTGAGAGAGTGAGTCCAGAGTGGAGCGGAGGGAGGCTGAGAGCTGTTCAACGGCAGAAGGATTGGTCGAGGGAGCTGCTATGGAATGAGAGGCTGAAGAGGGTCCGAGGTTTGCAACGACGCAGTGAGAGGGAGCGGGCATATCGGTGGCTGCAGCTGGGATGGATCTAGGACGTCCTCTGCTGCGCTTGGCGGGGGGAGCGGAGGACTTGCATGATCTTTTGCGGCCAGGAATCGGAGCGGACTGAAGAGCAGAAGGCGAGGGAGATGGAGATGAATCACGAGGAGGTGGAAGGGAGGCTAGTTGAGACAGCTGAGCAGAATCAAGGTCGGAGCCTGGCAGTATGCCTCTGGAGAGTAACACGGAAGGAGATGAGAGAGCGGCCAGACGGGAGCTTCTTCGAGCAGGGAGAATAGGGGAAAGGTTGCGTTCCTCTGGGTTGAGGAACAGGGACCCGGCAGGGTCATCTGAATCGAAATCTGACCTAGTGCTTGCAGATAGCGGGACTTGGATGAGGATTTGGAGAGTTTATAAAGTGAAAGCAGGACGCTGATTGGGCTTCATGGTGGAGTAGTTCGAAGCTGATTGGCTCGCTTCGGAGACGGATTAGCTTCTGATTGGATGGAGGTAAGCCAGAGTTTCTTCAATTGAACTTCCGCTAGAGCTTCATTTAGTGTGTTTCATAAATATTTAGTGTGTTTCATAAATATTTAGTGTGTTTCATAAATATTTAGTGTGTTTCATAAATATTTAGTTTGTTTCATAAATATTTAGTGTGTTTCATAAATATTTAGTGTGTTTCATAAATATTTTTTTTTCATAAATATTTAGTGTGTTTTATAAAAATTTTGTTTGTTTCATAAATATTTAGTGTGTTTCATAAATATTTTTTTTTCATAAATATTTAGTGCGTTTCAAAAATATTTAATTTGTTTCATAAATATTTAGTGTGTTTTATAAAAATTTAGTTTGTTTCATAAATAGTGTTTCATAAATATTTAGTTCGTTTCATAAATATTATTTTTTCATGAATATTTAGTGCGTTTCAAAAATATTTAATTTGTTTCATAAATATTTAGTGTGTTTTATAAAAATTTAGTTTGTTTCATAGATCTTTAGTGTGTTTCATAAATATTTAGTGTGTTTCATAAATATTTTTTTTCCATAAATATTTAGTGCGTTTCAAAAATATTTAATTTGTTTCATAAATATTTAGTGTGTTTTATAAAAATTTAGTTTGTTTCATAAATAGTGTGTTTCATAAATATTTAGTTTGTTTTGTAAATATTTAGTGTTTCATAAATATTTAGTGCGTTTCATAAATATGTTTTTTTCATAAATATTTAGTGTTTTATAAAAATTTAGTTTCATAAATATTTTGTGCGTTTCATAAATATTTTTTTTCATAAATATTTAGTGTTTTATAAAAATTTAGTTTCATAAATATTTAGTGTGTTTCATAAATATTTAGTTTTTTTCATAAATATTTAGTGTGTTTCAAAAATATTTTATTTGTTTCATAAATATTTAGTGTGTTTTATAAATATTTAGTTTGTTACATAAATATTTAGTGTGTTTCATAAATATTTAGTGTGTTTCAAAAATAATTAGTTTGTTTCATAAATAATTAGTTTGTTTCATAAATATTTAGTGTGTTTCAAAAATAATTAGTGTGTTTTATAAATAATTAGCTTGTTTCATAAATATTTAGTGTGTTTCATAAATATTTAGTGTGTTTCATAAATATTTAGTGTGTTTCAAAAATAATTAGTTTGTTTCAAAAATATTTAGTTTGTTTTATAAATATTTAGTGTGTTTCATAAATATTTAGTGTGTTTCATAAATATTTTTTTTTCATAAATATTTAGTGTGTTTCAAAAATAATTAGTGTGTTTTATAAATAATTAGCTTGTTTCATAAATATTTAGTGTGTTTCATAAATATTTAGTGTGTTTCATAAATATTTAGTGTGTTTCAAAAATAATTAGTTTGTTTCAAAAATATTTAGTTTGTTTTATAAATATTTAGTGTGTTTCATAAATATTTAGTGTGTTTCATAAATATTTTTTTTTTCATAAATATTTAGTGCGTTTCAAAAATATTTAATTTGTTTCAGAAATATTTAGTGTGTTTTATAAAAATTTTGTTTGTTTCATAAATAGTGTGTTTCATAAATATTTAGTTTGTTTCGTAAATATTTAGAGTGTTTCATAAATATTTAGTGTGTTTCATAAATATTTAGTTTGTTTCATAAATATTTAGTGGGTTTCATAAATATTTTTTTTCATAAATATTTAGTGCGTTTCATTTTTGCAATTTAGTTTTTGTGTTTTTGCAATTTCAAACCTTAGCATCCCGTCACCTTTCCACCCCTATTATCATTTCCGAGTTATCATCCTGTCTCCTTCATCATCCCGACCGTACCTTTGTTAACTTCATTCTTTCTGGTCTCTCTCAAGGATTTCATGTAGGAGTTTTTAACCCCCCCTCTCTCACCCACATATCCCCCAATCTTCAATCTGCTCTTAAAGAACCAGATACCGTAGATCTTCTTCTTAACAAAGAAATTTCTAAAGGGTTCATGATCGGTCCCTTCAAAACCTCTCCCTTCGTTCCCTTCCGAGTTAGCCCTCTCGGAGTAGCCACCAGAAAATATTCTGGAAAAAAGAGGCTTATTTTGGATTTATCCGCCCCCCACACCGGTCATCACTCCTCGATTAATAGCTTCATCCCGCCTGCCCCCTTTTCCCTTCATTACGCTTCCGTGTATCACGCTATTCTCCTGATCAAACGCACCGGCAAAGGAGCCTGGCTAGCTAAAGCCGACATCACAGATGCGTTCAAAATCGTCCCTATTCATCCCTCCCAGTGGCACCTGTTCGGTGCTAAATGGAAATCTCTTTTCTATTTTGCTGTCCGTTTGACGTTCGGGTGCAGGAGTAGTCCATGTCTCTTTGACAAAATCTCAGAAGCTCTATGCTGGATTCTCCTCAATGTCACCCATCTTCCATGCGTTCTTCATCTCCTGGATGACTTCCTTCTTATTGATCCTCCCTCTAAACTTCCCAGTCTTTCTCTTCCCAAGCTAAAGAAGCTCTTTTCCCGCCTCGGTGTTCCCCTGTCTGAAGAGAAAACTATTGGCCCAGCTACAAAAATCGAGTTTCTCGGCATCGAGCTTGAATCAGTGGCCATGATGGCATCCCTGCCCGCAGATAAACTATCTCGAATCCGTGAGATCTCTCAATCCTTTTGTTCCGCATCAGTCGTGTCCAAACGCCAACTGCTCTCCCTGCTAGGTCATCTAAATTTCGCCATGCGCGTTATTCCTCAAGGTCGCTCTTTCATCTCCCGTTTGCTCGATCTGGCTAAATCCGTTCCCTCCCTCCTTGATCAGGTTACACTGAACGAAGGCTGCCGTTCGGACCTTTCCTTCTGGTCCAGTCTCCTTCTAAATTGGAACGGAAAATCATTTTTCTACGATGACATTATTCAATCTCCTGACATGCTGCAGTTTTTCACGGATGCTGCCCCATCCGTAGGTTTTGGGGGGTTCTTTCAGGACAGGTGGTTCGTGGGTTCATGGCCTTCTTCATTCAACACCCAATCATTCGCTCTGTGTGAGGTCTACCCCATAGCCATAGCTTGCCGTCTGTGGGGCCCGCTCTGGGAAAGAAAACGCATATCCGCCTATTGCGATAACATCGCAGTCGTCGAAGCCTTAAATAAAGGTCGCTCCTCCTCCCAGTCTCTCATGCCCTTCATCAGAAGCATCACCTGGCAAGCAGTCACTAACAATTTCATTATCTCAGCGCGTCACGTTCCAGGCCATTCTAACACTGCTGCTGACGCTCTCTCTCGTTTTAAATTTCAGACTTTCCGTCATCTTCAACCTACCTCCGATCTCCATCCGACTCCTGTTCCTCCTCTAGAGGAATTCACCCTCAATTAACTCACTCTCTTCATTCATATCTACTTTCCTCCAGCTTCTACATGAAATCTGGTTTAGCTCCTTCTACCCTCAGAACCTACAACTTTGCATGGCAATTATTTGCAAAATTCTGTTCAAGTCTCCAAATTTCCCTGTATCCTTTACTCATTACTTCTGTCATAGCTTTCATTTCTTACTGCTTCGATAAACGCCGCTTCAAATTATCTTACATTCGCAGCTTGTTAGCCGGCATCAATTTCTTTTCACAATGCTATAACCCTAATTCTTCCATCCTTTTCGCTGACTACTCCATCAAGCTTCTCCTTAAAGGTCTATCTAAACATTCTTCAACGTACTTCTGACACTCGTAAGCCTATTACTTTTCCGATCCTTAGGAGACTAGTGTCCTCACTTTCTACTAGCACCTACTCGTCTTATGTCAAGTCTCTTTTATCTAGTTCCTTCTTATTGGCCTTCTATGGCTTTCTGAGACCGGGGGAATTCACTTCTTCTAATAGACACTGTAATCATTCCCGAGATCTGTCCATTTCAGATATTCGTTTCTACATCGACCATTTCAAATGATCCTTAAAACATTCTAAAGGTAAAGGCGCTTGTTCCATCTTCATCGCACGAACAGATGGCCCCCTCTGTCCCTTTCTCGCCAAGTTCGATTTTGTTCAAAGACGACACTCTATGCTCTCTCATTCTAAAGCACTCTTCATCACACCCGAGGGTCATCCTATGTCCACTCGTTGGTTCCTTCTTCACCTCATGACACTTTTAGAATCATGTGGCCTTCCCTCTAGTGGCTATTCCGGGCATTCGTTCCGGATTGGAGCAGCTACAACAGCAGCTACTCGTGGGGTTTCTGAGGCTTCCCTCCAGCAACTAGGCCGATGGTCATCATTGGTCTATACCTCATACATCCGCCCAGAACTCCCATCAATTCTCGCAGCGCTCTCTCTGCCTCTAGGTAACTCTAACACAAATACTGGTGGTGGTTCGAACTCTTTCTCATCATTACCTTACCTAACCATGACCATCCTCTAACTCATCTTCTTCTACTCCTACTCTATCAGTTACCTACATTATTCCTTGCTTTCTGCAGTCTTCATGCTGTCTCCTTGCTATACTCATGCTGTCTTTATTCTGGCTCGTATACGTGCAATCTCACCTTAATGTCAGGCATCAACATGCCTTCTCTTGTGTG